TCGCATAACCTTCGTTACGGACCTGCGAAGAGATTTGAAGTTAGTATCATGAAAGGAACTTCTGAAGGTAATGAGGTACTTAAGACTGAGATGTTCATCTCTCTTCATGCAGTATGAACGCATTATATCAGACCTATACGCTCTGAACAGTACCCTGCTCTAACCTTATTGTTAAAAAGATCAGCTGCATGTGGATAACATTGATGTTCATTTCAGTTCTCAATTCTACTCTATTGATCACTAAGGAATTAAAATTTTCCTCTAATTTAATCTGTGAGTTGCTTTCCCGTCGTATATTTCAATCAATGATTTTTCAAATCAATGATTTTCGAGTCATGATTCAATCAAAGATTTTTCGAATCGAAGACTTTCGAAAAAATTCATAAGCGTTCGAGCAAACCCTCCGTTCAAATTCAGACTCGAGATGATGTTAAAGTATATTTTCCGTCTTTTTATCTCGTTGAAATGTGCAAATCTAAGACTTTTAAGAAAAAAACGGTTAACAATTTGTCCGTGTTCCTTGATTTTTAACGCCAAGACTTAAAATAATTTGAATCGATGAATTTCAATTTTTATTCTGCTCGATTAAAAATGAATTTGGTTATTAATTGAAAAAACGCTGAAAGTCATTCAAGCATTTGAGTTTATTAAAAAATAAAACAACCTCAGTTAGTCATAGTAAATTCACTAAAGCTAAATTTTTTTACACGATTGTACAGTAAAATTAAAACTTAGATGATCCGCTTCATCATTTGACAGGCGTACTTTCAACTGTTTAGCTTCAAATATGGGTTGGTTCCTTTCTTCAGTTTGAATATAGTTTCCAGTTTCATAACCATTTTTGAAAACCAAAAACAAAATTCCACCAATGAATCTCGCTTCCTCTCGATGGTCGTCACTATTTGATCTTTATGTGGAAGCTTATAATGAAGGAACCTTCAGGTCTGCCGATATCGCGCAGGGGTAACTCAAGCAATGACCAAGAGCCGATCCCAAGTTTTCCAATAAGCCGCCTGTAATTAAGAGGTCGTCTAGCATAAATGCTACGATGCGCCTAGCTCAGCGGTCGCTTACTTAAGATTGCCTCCTGATAATCTTGACTAAACTTATTCTTACTTGCTCCGACCCCAAGATTAAGTTGCGACTAGTTTCTCTATCCTTTAGACGCGTTAATTTAACTTTGCGACGGCGACGTCAACTGATAAAAGTACGTCAATGGCCCGTGGACGAGCTATTGGGAGGGCAGCTGGCGGCTTCGGCATGGGGGTTCTAAAGTAATGGCGGAATGTTGTGAACTTAAAAAGTCGCTTGTGTACAGGCGATACTCCTTTGAATGTAAGTGAATTCAATATCAAAACTTGCATCACGTGTGTGATTAGGTCTATTTGCATGAAGAGTACCTACATGGGAGCAGAAGAAATTAATAAGGTATATATCGTCTATAATTGCTCTAACGACCCATAAAATGGTCTCAAGAGACAATCATTCCACCAAAAGTATGCTAAACATTCGTTAATGAAGCTTTGCAGCAATTTTTTCTGAATTAATATAATCAATGTAAACCCGCATTTATTATATAAAAAACCGTTTGGGATCAATTATTGGTAGTTTACTATAAATTGAACTAGCACCAACATTTTAATGGACAAGTGAAAACAGAAAATAAAGTAAAAATCATGGGTGAAAAATTGACCTGTTGTTTGGGGCCATGAGATAGTGTTCAGGCCTCGTATAACAAAGTTTCGAAAAAATTCATAAGCGTTCGAGCAAACCCTCCGTTCAAATTCAGACTCGAGATGATGTTAAAGTATATTTTCCGTCTTTTTATCTCGTTGAAATGTGCAAATCTAAGACTTTTAAGAAAAAAACGGTTAACAATTTGTCCGTGTTCCTTGATTTTTAACGCCAAGACTTAAAATAATTTGAATCGATGAATTTCAATTTTTATTCTGCTCGATTAAAAATGAATTTGGTTATTAATTGAAAAAACGCTGAAAGTCATTCAAGCATTTGAGTTTATTAAAAAATAAAACAACCTCAGTTAGTCATAGTAAATTCACTAAAGCTAAATTTTTTTACACGATTGTACAGTAAAATTAAAACTTAGATGATCCGCTTCATCATTTGACAGGCGTACTTTCAACTGTTTAGCTTCAAATATGGGTTGGTTCCTTTCTTCAGTTTGAATATAGTTTCCAGTTTCATAACCATTTTTGAAAACCAAAAACAAAATTCCACCAATGAATCTCGCTTCCTCTCGATGGTCGTCACTATTTGATCTTTATGTGGAAGCTTATAATGAAGGAACCTTCAGGTCTGCCGATATCGCGCAGGGGTAACTCAAGCAATGACCAAGAGCCGATCCCAAGTTTTCCAATAAGCCGCCTGTAATTAAGAGGTCGTCTAGCATAAATGCTACGATGCGCCTAGCTCAGCGGTCGCTTACTTAAGATTGCCTCCTGATAATCTTGACTAAACTTATTCTTACTTGCTCCGACCCCAAGATTAAGTTGCGACTAGTTTCTCTATCCTTTGGACGCGTTAATTTAACTTTGCGACGGCGACGTCAACTGATAAAAGTACGTCAATGGCCCGTGGACGAGCTATTGGGAGGGCAGCTGGCGGCTTCGGCATGGGGGTTCTAAAGTAATGGCGGAATGTTGTGAACTTAAAAAGTCGCTTGTGTACAGGCGATACTCCTTTGAATGTAAGTGAATTCAATATCAAAACTTGCATCACGTGTGTGATTAGGTCTATTTGCATGAAGAGTACCTACATGGGAGCAGAAGAAATTAATAAGGTATATATCGTCTATAATTGCTCTAACGACCCATAAAATGGTCTCAAGAGACAATCATTCCACCAAAAGTATGCTAAACATTCGTTAATGAAGCTTTGGAGCAACTCTTTTCTGAATGAATCTAATCAATTTAAACCCGCATATATCATATAAAAAATCGTTGGAGATCCATTATTGGTAGTTAAAAACTAAATTGAACTAGCACCGACATTTCAGTGGATAAGTGAAAACCAAAAATAAAGTAAAAATCATGGGTGAAAAATTGACCTGTTGTTTGGGGCCATGAAATAGTGTTCAGGCCTCGTATAACAAAGACCGAAAGTGATTTAAGCCTAAGCTTGAGTAGCAATTCCTGGCCAATTTCCTGCGCGATGAGCAATCTATTAGGTCACGCGTGGCTGTCCAAAGAATTTGGGTATTACCCTACCTCAGGAATGGAAAAACATACCTTCCCTCTCACCCTTAGGAATGATAAAAATAACGGGGAACATTTATCCAGGCATTAAAATCAAACTCAAATTAATGCGAATTTCATGCAACTGTTGTTGAAATGAAGAAAAGTTGGTGGTTCAATGAATATTTTTTTCTACCATGAGTTTTGAAATACATAATGAATAATTCAAATATATTGAACAAGGAATAATATCTATGATCACCTTGTCGGCTTATCCTTTTCATATTTTAGTTGTAAGGAATTCATTCGTTTATATCAAACCTCTAAAGTCGGCAAACCGCAAAGAATTACGAAAGTTAATTGGTCGTCCACGTGCGTCTTTAATTTGGAATTAATTTCATCGATTTGAAATAAAAAAAATGGGATCAGGGAAACATAATTCCATCATCATCTCCGTAAATATTTTCGCTTGAAAAGTCGAGAAATTTTCGAAAAAATGATGAAGAAAATAAAAAAATTATGTCATGTTGAGGTTTCGATTTTTTTCTGCAGATTTTACAATTCTAATATCATTATAATAATTTAGTTTTATATACAGTGAGAATGAATGCCTTTGGAAATTTGGAGACCATTTTATTGACGAATGAACCTTTGTCTCTTGTGTAGGGCATGAAATACAGGAAAAACTGTCAACAAATAGTTGAAAGAAACGACTTTGTAGAAATATTTCGAAAAAATTTGAATTATTATAAAATCGCACTCATCGCACTTACATCATAAGCCTTACGAAATTAAAATATTTAAAAATATTTCGGAAAATTTTAAATTTTGTTAAAAAAGCACTTACTTTAAAACACTTTTTGAAACTAAAATTTTCAATTCGCTGCAATGAACCAACGCAGCTTGGGGTTTCAAGATCCAAAAAAATCAGACGCTCTGTTATGCATGGATGTAAAGTTTACTTAAGTTGGATGACGAAATGTTGAAAAGTTTCTTCAGTAAGTAAAAATCTATGTCTATATGCGCCTTAATGAAAGATTTTTTTACCCTGGACGAATTTGCTTTATTGTTTCTCAGACGGAAGTTTTCAGTGACGGAAAATAATTCATCGTTATGGAGAAAGTACGTGACAGCTTTGCCGCGATGGGATATTTTTGGTTCTCTGCATTAGAAAGGAAAGTTTTTTCAGCGTTGTAAAATGCACCAGTTTCTGTGCCTCGCGCAATCACAGTTTCTCATCGAAGAAAAAGGGTTCTAGTATTTATTCGCTGGATTGTAATATAATTTTTAATATTCCAGCGATGAAAAACTCATCAGTATCTCAGCGCCTGGATGTACAAAAATTTTTGTCTTGAACAAATATTTTCAACGAGGGGATACAATCTCTTTTCTGCGAGAATGCAAGCGATTTGCTGTATCGGAAAATTCACCGTTTCTCTGAGCCGGAATGTAGCACAGTTTTCAGCAACGAAAAATGCATCAGTTTCTCTGAGCCGGAATGTAGCGCAGTTTCCAGCAACGGAAATGCACCAGTTTCTCTGCGCCGGAATGTAGCACAGTTTTCAGCAACGGAAATCGGCACGCACTCAGATCGATGAACTCGAGCGCGTTCGTGTCGGGCTGGTCGACCCGGGCTGCGAAACGTGACGGAGAGAGCGATTAGAGGCGGACACGCACATGCTGCCGTGTGTGTACGTACGTGTCTGGCTTTTGAGAGCGCCAGACACGCACACGCGTATGTGTTGTCGTCGCTGAAGCTCAGCACTGGTGCGTGTAGCGTTGCGCAGTCGTCAGTGGTGTCCGGACCTTCCTGAAGACATGGAGAACGCGCGCCCCAGTATCGCGTACCCCGAGTGGTCTAAAGATCACTCACGGCTCTTCATCCGATTGTATGAGAAGCATCCGTGCTTGTGGAAGCTAAAGAGCGATGCTTATAAGGACAGAGGTGCTAAGAGTCAAGCTTATAAGGATATTATTGAGAACATGAAGCATGTCGTGCCTGGAATCAGCGTACCTATTATCAAGCGCAAGATCAACACGCTGCGTGGACAGTTCAGACGGGAAGTTAGGCTCATGCTTGCCTCCAGAGAGACCGCCATGTTACCCGAGCAGATGTACCAACCTAAGTTGTGGTGCTATAATCACCTGCTTTTTCTTGGTGAGGATGATGATGAGTACAGAGATCCTGCCAACCTTCTTCGCATCAACTGCTACGATGAAGATGTTGATCTCAATTTCGATACAGTGAGTTGCATTGATTATAGACCTTGTTTATTTTATTTGTTATCAATTGTAAGCCAGTCCGCATCCATTAATGCTCTCCAGTCTCCACATGGAATCCATATTGGAGAAAATATAATGCCTCTCTCCTGTCATTCAGTGCGTGAGATGGATTGGATGACATTTTAGAATATTATTGAAGTTCAATGTTGATTGCAAGTTCTTTGACCATCGACATTTCCTTTATTATTCATTTGTTATTGACTACTAGAACGATGTCCAATTCATCATTGATCCAAATAATGTGGTGAATACTTTATATCATTCGGTTGTCATTTTTGGAAAAAAATATATATCTGGGTTCCATTTCAGAACCGTCCCCAACGAAATAAATTTTTTGGAAGTTTGATCCCGTGAAATCTTGCCAGTTAGTATTAAATGGATCAACATGCTCGGTGTTTGTTCATACTTGATATCAAGTGTCGGTAAATAACATATGATTATTTGCGCATTTTATTTCTATTCTGTGGCTACGTCCGAGTTCGTATCGTATATTTTCATCGCTTTTTGTTATTATGCGCTTCTTTAGTATCTACTATTATTTGACTACCTTCTATGAAGTTCGTAACTTGCGTTCAGCTTTAGATAGTAATCTGATAAAGTTAGTACAGCAAATGAATGCCCGGTCACAACATGAAAAATGTTTCTATTGTTATTCATGCACTTATTGAGCATGAGCTGCAGCGTTAGGGAAGGAAAGAGCATAAATATTATAAATGTATGTATAAATGTTTTGTGATAGAGAAATTACTTGGTTATTCATTTAAATTTCGATATGATCAACATAAGAAGATTAGCGATTGTGCGATGTGAATAGAAAGCGAATTTATGCTGCCACGCGATCTCTTTAATTTACATGATTTATTTAATTGATATACCTACTACTTCCTTATTACTACGAGTTTATGAAACCAACCATTATTTATTATTGCAAACGTAGATTTAAAATAGAAGTAGAGCCCTCAACTTAGAACCAGCGCTTGAAACCAGAACTTTTTTTGCAAATATCAGAGCAGGCTCAGTCGCTTATCCGTCCGTCACTCAATCTAGTTTTTGACTAAAAAGTTTTACAAGGGGCGACTCCACGATACCTCAACCAGCCGAACCCTAGCGATCCTGTGGGCCGAGTGTCCTTTATGTGATCCGATATTTATAACTGCGGGTTTAATATATTCCTATCCCATTTTCGGTGCTAGTTTGCACTGCCAGTGCCCCGAAAATACTTTTTAAACTAAATACAGTCATGAGATTTACTGTAATCAGTTTATACAGCAATTAGATTAATTAAATGCTATAAATATCAATGAAAAGTCATTCACGAAAATAAATGTCACAAAATCATAAAGTTAGAAAAAGAGTAATAACGAAATTCTTTGCACATGAATTCCGTTTCAACGGTAGTTTCGTATTAATGTGTCCCACGTCCTTTAAGACGTATTGTTATACAGGGTGTCCATAAAAATATCCTCGATTTTTTAGGCTCGTAAGTAAAGGATACATTTGGAGAGCTGTGATTGTTTTGATTATTATTTGCGCTGTTATTGCGCTAATCTTGCGCTGATAAGCTAGATGCTGCAGCACTGATTATGTATATACATGTGCTATACCGCTGGTTTTACCATATATGATATAACATCACAAATATAAGCTCCCTCTCCAATTTAATATTTACTACAACACTAATTATAAATATGCTGCTCTTAGTAGGGCTTTAAAGAATCTCTCATTATTTGCTTGTTTATTCATGATCAACTTTTATTGTTCGCTTCCTTTACATTCTTGTTGATTTTGTTAGAAGCATTGAAAGATTTTTCCTGACTTTTCTCTTGTCATGCCAAGGACGAAACGGAATGCAAAATATCTCACGAGAAACGTTTTCCCCATCAAAAGGCTGTCAATTTTACAATCGACGATTCGATTCTATTATCAGACAAATGCTTCACCCCTGCTGAAAAACATCGTAACCTTTTCGCCGTATCAAAGACGGCCTATCGTTGGCCAATGTGCGGCGTTCGATATTTTATCGTTGTTATTTTGCGTGGATATTATTTTATAAATTACCATCTCAGCGCTCAATGTCTGCAGAAATGTTTATAAAATAGATAAAAATTACCATTTGGCTGTCTTATTCTTTTGCAGAATAAGCGGTTTTTTTTTGTTTTTCGTTCGGTTTTTTTTTGTTTGTATTTTGCGTGGATATTATCTTTTAAATTGTCATCCTAGCGCTCAATGTCTGTATAAATGTTTAGAAAATAGATAAAAGTTACCACTTGGCTGTCTTATTCTTTTGCAGAAGGACGGCATTACAGATCAGCTGGGACCGTCTTGGGCAGGTCTCGCGTCTTCTTATCATTCAATCAACCATCTCGACCTCCCTGCTGCCGTCAACTCAACGACCTCTTCGCCTAACCCATCGGCTTCGACCTCATCACCTTTGCAGCCGGCGATGGATTCAGGAACGGATCCGGCCATGGTAGAAAATTCCAGGGAAAGTGCTTCCAAGAAGTTGCATCGACGTGAAAATTCTTCAGACATTTCCAGGGATTGCAAATATGAGGAAAATCTTTTAAATTTTATTCCGAATAAGTATCCTGCGGAAGATTCATCCGAAAATTTCCCTCGAAATTATCATCGGGAAGAAAGTTCATCCGATAACATTTTCAAGAAGCAAAGGGCGGAAAATGCTTCAGACACTGTAAAGATGGCCTTATCAGCCTTATCTGCGGTTAGCGGGTGCGGTCGCCCCATAGACGAGTGTGATGACTTCGGTAAGGTCGTTGGAAATAAACTGAGGAGGATGACTGAAGAACAAAGAGAAGTGACCGAGAAGATTATCATGGAGGCTCTGTTCCTTGGTAGCCGAGGACTTTTGACTGCAGGGGCTCACGTTATTCTCGACGAGGGAAATGGTAACAATGGAGAAACGTATAGGCCGGCGTCGAGTGTAAACAACTTATATAAATACTAAATTTTCTTCAATGTAATTTTTTAAAGGACTGTATAATATGGCTGAGCTTATTCATTGATGATCATTGATTCAATATGTAAACTCTTGTCAAAATAGGAAAAAAAATAAAAATGAAAACTATTTCTGAACTTTTATCGGTTTCACAAAATCGGAGTTTGTTAATTTATGAACTTTGAATGCTCGGAAATATGACCGAATGATTCAAAATAGGTCAGCAATAAGCTAGAAATTATTTTTACTTTTAGCTAAAATAGTATTTTCATTACGTGGTATCAAGTTTCATTGTCTTTACTATATCTTTAATTAATTTTTTTAATTTGTTACAGAGTAAATTATAATCAGTATTTGTACACCATTCCTGTGAAGGAATGTACAAATATTTATTCGTGCCAAACGTATTATTTTGATGGACTATGAGCTACTACCTTCAACAATTAAAATATTTTATATTATGATAAAATAATATGATTACCCTTTTCTTCTCTTCCTTGTTTATTCATCTACGACTTGAAGATTTTATTTACAACGAGTAAACTTTACGAACCATTTTAATTTACGAGATACCTCCCGCATTTCCGGAGAACGGCTTTTTGCTTTAACTTTTTTTTTATCGAGTTCAAGCGTAATTATGACATCTAGAAATGAAATTAATTGTAAAAGAAATTGGGATATGACACGACAAACTCTTTGTATGTATATCTTTAATTAGCTTCATCTTTCTTCACATCCTAATAAACAACACAATGTATACACAGTGGGTCATGCGGTCCAAATGTTTGTATCGATACACTGATGAACATACACAGAAGTGACCATTACTTATTGACTTAATTACTTAATGAATATCCATAACAACTTAATTCATTAATATTATTGAATTTCTTGCTCTCTTGTCACCCAGTGCAGAATCGGAAGCGTCTTCCCGAGCCTTTTATTAATATACATAGGCCTTCCGCAGCTAACTTGTGACGTGAGTTCCGAACTTGAGGCTCACTTTGGACCAGATGTGTTGAGTAAGAGACAGGCTTGTCCATAACAACTTTGCCTTATGATCAAAGTTGTGCATCGTCAAAGTTTATTTTCCGAGATGCAAGTTACTGAAGCTTCCAGGATTTCTTGAGCATATATTCCTTCTTGACAGAGTCGGTAAACCGCTTATGTAAAAACGGTAGAGAAAGAGACTTGAAAATGATGACTTTCCGACCGCAGAGAAAATAATTAGCACGTTAGTACATTGTGAATAGAGACTGAAGTGATTAAACATGGAAAATTCCTCCGAAATATTTTTCGAGCTAAGTGTTTCCAATAGAAGGTTGATGCAAGTTTTGTTGAATCCTGTAGCAAAAAAAGAAAGGTTTATACATCTTCATATTCTTTAATGGTATTGAAGACATTGTACTCGTACATAAATTTGTTGAAGACTTTACTTAATTTTATTACATGTAGCTACTTAAATAACAACATTATGGCTAATCCCCATGTATAATCCCACAACATTATGGGTAATCCCCATGTGTAATCCCCATAGTTACTGTTATTTTGGGACAGTTCATTATTGCTTTTAAGTTATCTTAAACACAAGAAAACATACAAAGGTCGAACCATAAAAAAGCCTGATTATTTATAAAATATCTTGCACACAAAGAAAAGACCAGCGAGCTCTTAATTCGACTAACTTTCACTAACTCAGAGTAACAGCCAAGCTCGCTGATGATGCCTTCTTGAACTCTCCACGCACGTCCGCTTGGCTGCTGAACTTCAAACTTCTTTTTCGCGGGCAAGGATCAAAGTTCACAGATGATTTTCAATCAGCCTCAACCCACGACTTCTCAACACACATACTGGCACGGATCGGCCCGCGGCTGAGGTGTAGCTAAGATACGGAAATATATTCTCTAAATTTTCGGGGAAATGCAAATTGTATGAATATTTTTCCATTAAACGTTGACGTAGGAGTGAGATAGTGAAACTCAAAATTCTAAGTTCAAAGTGAAGATTTATGAAAAATTATTCCCGTGTTCTGAGTGAGTCGGCAGTCCCAAATGCAGTGTAGGTTTCTTCGCAATTGGGAATTTTTCGCTCTTGAAGGCGTCAGTTACGCCGTATACTTGTAAATGATAAAAAAAGTTCCAGGCTTCTATGACTTTTTTTTTCGTATTAAATCCTCAAACAAAACTATTTCTGTACCTGATTTTGATGATATTAATTTCACTTCTATATTACAAGAACGAATAATAAGAAGGATAAAATAAGCACTATTGCGCATTGAAGAGTAAGATGTTCCTTTTAAAGTCTGACAGCAAGCAAATCAGGATTGTGTTAAATATAAAGAACGCTGAAGTTATTTTCCCATTTAGCTTCCAGTTTTGAAATCGCCTAAGGATCTTTCCCGTTTACAGCTGACTCGTTCATTGGTATGTTCAATTGATACGAGAGGATGCACGTGTTAAATTATTTACTATATTTAATTCTTTCTCATCATTGTTGAGGCTCTTCCTAGTTCCGTCGCCCTTTAATACTCAATATGAAATGCTCTCGCTATAACCTCGCTTTAATAATTGATATTTTCTGATACATCTCACGTCCCAGTACAGCGGAAAAATCTTCACTCCACTCTCCATATTGCAGATATTTTTTAGGCCACGATGCTGTTCAATCTGAAATGGTGTTTATAAAATCATCCTCAATGTTGTTACTGTAATTTGTTTCTCCTGCTAGTTTTACAGAAACCTTATGAGCTACAACAAAGTATCGTTCACTAGATCGTCTCATGTCGAAACCTCGCCCAAGAGAACGAACGAGTTATCCTTAAAATCCGTAACAAGGGGTTTGATAAGTTGGATTCGATGGCTCAAGATTTGTAGTTTACTGAACTCGAGATCTAAGGTGGCCGATGTCGCAATCAACAATAACAAAAATCGTAGTGCATACGCAAATTCCTATAAAATAAATTCGCGCCGCATAGCTGACAGCTCTCAAATAAAAATATTTTATTTAAGTTATAAAAGAAGGGAGTGAAGATCCAGGGAAAATCTTCAGGTTTTAGAAGCTTGTTCTTGGACGAGACTTGTAAACTGAAGAGGCTCCATAGGTGAGCTTTGGGCTGCTGTAAATCATCTGAGGCGTCCGACGGGAAGTAACGGAAGGCAGCGGCAGCACCGATGCTCTTGACTTACACGCATGCTGCTTGACGTGACAAGAAACTCAGCGGCAGCACCGATGCTCTTGACTTACACTACACGCATGCTGCTTGACGTGACAAGAAACTCAGCGGCAGCACAGATGCTCTTGACTTACACGCACGCTGCTTGACGTGACAAGAAACACAGCGGTAGCACCGATGCTTTAGTCACCTCTCAGTGTGGTTGAAGGCTCAAGCAGTCAATTAAGCAGTCGACGAAATAAATACTTGGAATGTTCTCTCAGAATAAATTTCGGAACTTTTAGAGGCCAATTTTGGATCTATTGAAATCTCATCATCTCATCAGACAAAAGTTCACTATGATGAAAATTCCAATGTTGAGCTTTAAAAAAACGGCTGAAATAGCGACATTTCTCGAAATTAATGACCCCTGACACCCTGGATGTCTTGTTTATCTCAATTTAATCCAGCGATCTCTCAGTGAGAGCTTCGAGGGTCTAGGACATACACATACAACCCATCAGCAGCAGGTGCAGTGGACAGCTCGTTCCCAAAGCACCTGCGTTACAATCAACAAATGGGCAGCAATAAAACAACAAGACGGGTGTCGCCCTCGCCTCGGTGTGTAGGAACTCCTCTACTGACGCAGTGCTGTCTCGTAAATGTGGCCGAACTCTTCGAAGAATGGGTGTGGATGTCGCCTTGGAACGAATGGCCTTAAACCTATTTAGGTAATGTAACTTTCAAATCTTATTTATTAAAGCAAGAAGAGGTTTATCTAGAGAGGTTATTGGGGGCCGACGAGCCACGAATATTCTTAACTCTTTTAAAATTGACCTGTATGCATTGCGTTCAGTAAAATACAGGTAAAATAGATCCGCGATATGAATTTAATATATAATAGAGTTAGGAAGAACGGAAAGAAGCAATCCTCGGAGACTAAGATTAAAATAGAAGAATGATTACTTATGGTTATATTTTGATTAGAATAAGTAATTAAAAATATATATATATATATGCAAATGTAAATGTTAATCATTGAGAAACTGGCCTTCCTTAGCTTACAGCTGCCCAAACTTGCTGCATTTCCGTCTCCGACAATCTTGATCGCTAAACTGATCAATTTCACTATTTTCGACAAATATCTTTTGTACTATTAGATGGTACAACCGAAAATTCTGATTTTTTGATGAGTTACAATAAAATAAATAGTTTTGATACTTCAGTCAAGGTTTGTTTCAGTCATGACAAAGTGTATCTCAAAATTGATGGCGTTATTTAATTTGAACATGAAGCGACATCGCTTCTACGTCATCCAACGTCAGTCATTTAGACGTGTAGTCTCGTCACGATGTGACGTGCAAATAGCACACGTCTGTAGGCCGTACAACGGTCGTTGACAGGTCGTCAAATCAAGACAGGAACGTCCTAACGTCGTAGCCATGATGGCCTAAGTGTGATGACTTCCATATAAAGCTGCGCTGAAATAGAAGCTGTTTTGCCCAGCCTCATAATGTGTTACGTGCAACTCGTATATATGGACGACGAAATATTAATAATATATTGTGATGTCCTACAGACGGAATTAAATCCGGTATTTTATTTTACGTACTTAGCCGCATACTAAAATAAATGGTGGATGACTAAGCCTAGGACTTTAATTCATGCGAATAGAGAATAATTTAATTTATTTTCTCATAATTTTAGAAAACTTTTGGCATTTTGTACCATGACGCATCGTTATGATGAATAACTGTAGTTCATATTTTTTACTTTTTGGGCATTTAATAATATATCGTGTTAATCAAGATAGTATTATGTAAATTCCAATAAGTTAGAGTTATGGAAGATCCACTCAATTAAAAAAAAAAAATGAGCTCCGATTAAGTTCATACAAAATAATCGAGTTATTTTCAGAAATGGTCTACAAATTAAAATTTCTCCGCAGAATAGTAAATTATTCGCTACTCAAATATTTGGTTCCATCTCTCCCGAGTTCCCCAAAAGGACTTCTAATTTTCCGGTTGAAGGAAACGTCGAAGCAGATTAGCTTGCCAGCTTTGTGGCGTTTTTCGCCCGGCGTCTCACATTCGTCCATATTTTATATGCCGGCTTCATAAATCCGATCTTCATCAGTGAAAAAAAAACAGAGTCCCATCACGTTAATGTTGAAATTTAACGGCGTGGTGAATAACAGATTTTATGTATTTTTTAAATAATTGGAGCAGAAGTTCGAAATGATTTTGTATTTTAAACTATTTTTATTCAAATGATGTGGCACCTTTGTAGATATGTATCGTGACAATTTTTCAGGATTATCGTAATTTCCAAGGGCTATTTACGAGGAGAAGGTTTGTTCTGATCTTATTCGGCAACGCTGAATGTATATATAGTTTAATCGCTGTGAAAAGCTTACCAAAACTCCCTGCGATTCATGGATTCAGCCAAGCGTGTTCATTTTAAAATCATTTTTAGAATACTTTTACGTAACTAGCGGTGATCTTGACCTTTTAATTTTCAGATCTCTTTTTTCCAAGATCCTAACCTACTCGCTGATTATTCGGTTTGATTGGGCAAAGCAAATATTCGTGCTTTGATTAATGGACGAATTGCCTCCCCACATTCATTCCTAATGATCACGCGGAAACATTCAATTATAATTAGCATGCGCTTATCTAATTGATTTGCCAATAGTTATGTAATGCTTACGTACGTGGAATTGAGTGTAAGTGATCTCGTAATGAAAGATGGTAAATCGGGGATTTTATTAAGACTGGATGCTTCATTATTTGGTTATTGGTGCTATTTTCCGTAGAGATACTAGGTCACGATCCAAGATGCTTCTGTTGATTGGTAAAATTTTCATTTTTGAACTCGCAACTGTGATGAAAACATTATCAGTTCTACAGTACAAACTTCTATAATAAATTAAACCTACCAAATACACGTAATTAGTATGAATGTATTTACTTCAGAGAATTTTCTTTACCATATGAACGGCTTGAATTAGGATTGAATAACCCACGCACCGAAGTTAGGTTGCTTTAGATCAGTGCTTCAACTTTTTTTTCTGAAAAGTTGCAAAAAAGCTCCCTTGCAGGTAGTACCTCAGGTAACTGAAATACTTTTTTTTTCTAGGCAACAGTTGCAAATCCTTGCCTTGCTCTCTTCATGAAACGCCAGGCAATGAATATTCGTATCGAGTTTAACAACTAACGCAAAATTGCTTTTGACATCGATGGGATCTACGTACCTACTATCTGGAACTTTCTCTACTATTAAAGTTGTGCGCGTACCACAGGCTGGAAACCACAATAGTACCTAAAAGGACTACAGAGAAGGCTGGAACGATCGTAAAATTCATCTTTACTGTCCATTAACTTGAAGGCAGGAATCTAATTTGTGCCCCATAAGTGTTTCAGGCTGCTCTATTTAGAGGTCGTTTCGTGTTGTCGTGTCCTATGAGATGGACGTACCGCTCCTGTTTTACGTGCTTTTCGTCGCTATAGGAACTTCAGCCACCATGCAGCACAACGATGGCAATGGCGAGTCATCTGCATTAGGTTAGTTTACAATAATTATTGCTCCATTGGAAAATAATTTCACATTCCAGATTACCATTCATATTTCATTTGATGTTCCTTTAGTAGGCTCGTAATTATTTTAATTTCTCTTAATTCAATTATCCATTAATATCTTAGGCCACATCGGTGAATACGAAGAATCGTTCCACCGGTTTCGAGCCGATCTGACGCACTACCTCGATGATGCCAAGAATCCTTTGGCCTTCCATCCTTCCCTGCCTGAGCGCTACACCGAACTGCTCACATTCTACCTCAACCGATTTCCGTGGGTGCGGCACAATGCTCTCCGCATGGGCATTATCAAAATAAATATTAGATCTTTAAACCTAACTGAGATGTTTGGATCCCAGCCGCGAAAATTTGACTTTATAAATACTGAGCCACATGAAACTGAGCCACATGAAACTGAGCCGCATGAAACTGAGCCACATGAAACTGAGCCACATGAAACTGAGCCGCGTGAAACTGAGCCGCATGAAACTGAGCCACATGAAACTGAGCCACATGAAACTGAGCCACATGAAACTGAGCCACATGAAACTGAGCCACATGAAACTGAGCCACATCATACTGAGCCACATCATACTGAGCCACATCATGCTGAGCCACATCATACTGAGCCACATGAAACTGAGCTTCGTGAAACTGAGCCGAATAAAACTGAGCCACATGAAACTGAGCCTCGTGAAACTGAGCCACATGAAACTGAGCCACGTGAAACTGAGCCACATGAAACTGAGCCACATGAAGCTGGGCTACATGAAGCTGTACCGCGTGAATCTATCCCGCATGAATCGGAGTCACATCAAATTCAGCCTCTTCAATCCTCAAGAAGTGAGCTTCCCAAATCAGAGTTTCTTCAGTTTTAAGTGTTTATAAGGTCTGGTCAACTGGTCAAGGTCCAACAGAGAACAAACTTCAATAATGCTTGCTTCTGGAATACGGAAAACCAAATTATGCTGCTCTTCAGTCGAGAAATTTAGTCAAATATTATATGAAATATTCAATGAAATGCTTGGTCAACCAAGTACGAAATCATTGAGGACCTGATGCAGTGCTATGCATGAAGCTCACAGTCCATGGTATGGGTATGGCCTATGATGGTAGGAGAATGATAGTGTGAGAAATATGATTTAGACCACAGTCAAAAAGTTTTCTATATTTGCAATTATCTGCTGTAAAAAACTGACTAAATTTGATGGTTAACTGAGGTATATTGGTTTCCTCTCTCCTTTTTTCACCAATTATTTTGAACAAATTTCCTCTAGCTTTACGTATATAGTGTCGATGCATAAGTCAATATTGCAACATTTAGAGCCTCTGATAATTACAATTTTGGAATATAAACTAAATATATAGTCTGGATTGTAACGTACGGATACTTCCAAAAGATACGTCTATATCTACCAAATGCTCGCTTCATAAGGAAAACATAAACATAGCCGATTAAATTTTCTTAAATTTACAAGTAAAAGATAATTCGTCATAATTATTCAAGGCGGAAATTTACAGTATTTAACGTAGCCCCTATTCAACTCACAAAATTTACCATCAACCTAATAAATATAACTCTGTACTCACTGCACTGAGTGGCAGAGAGCACATTTTCTCGTCCGTCCGACGGTCCGTGACGTGAAGTCACGGACGGACTTCACGGACGGACACGACGAGCGCCAAATGAGAAAATGCGCTAAAAACGGGATTTTTCAACGAGAACTCAAGTACAATGTGCCAGATACTGCCATGCTATGCCAAAATATTGAACATTACCTATCCACTTGATCGTCGAAAATTAATAAAGCGGTGGAACTCTCGTCTAAAGCTTTTTAGGTCTATTCCTTTTCCTTTCTTTACGTATTCAATTTAAATTCACATAACACATTTTAGAGGAACTGGGTGCTTCTAATACACAACGTGCTGCATCAAATGACGAGTGCGATGAACGTTATTGTCAATATAAACAATTGAATAAAGACCACAAGCGAAACACGCACCGTAATTTTATTTTGATATGATAATTGATAAACCACAATAGTTGTCTCATATATGCCAATGTTGTCTCCGTAGTCCATCCAATACAAACTAAAAGTTAAAATAAGTGTAATGGGAGCTCAATTATTGAAAGGAATTCTAAAAAAACTCATAGAAGTTCAGATAACGAATTACCAAAATGTTAAAAAAATTCCGACCAGTCGAAGTGGTAGTTCGCTCAAACTTTGAGGCAAGTAAGTCTGGGCCATCACGTCAGTAAACAGAAACCTTTGGTAGAAACAATTTAAATTACACAAGCAGGTGGATCAGATGTCACTCGGAATGGTCCTTAGCGGCACTGAGATTCCATTTAATATTAAAGTATGACAAAGCGAGCGAGGAGTTCTTCGAAAAGTTAAACCGAGCCTCTAGGATATATTAGTTAGTGTTTTTTTTTTTCTTAGAATACGAGGATTGCAATGTCGGAAAATGTGAGGCCATTTTCATTTTATTTTTTAGACAAATCCAAGATAAAATTTTGGATATTCGTATGCATCAAAAATTCAACTTTCAGATCTTGATGATATCCTAAGTAGCTTGGCAATGTCCATACAATATTTGTATTGTAGGTTAAGGCTGTATTTTTTTTTTCAACCAAATCAGAATTCTAATTTCCGGTCAGCGTGCGATGAAGGTTAGTAAATCGTAACTATTGTCTTATGTCTTCAGAGTAAAGAAAGCATGTGGTAGTGGTTAGATGGCATCACTCATTTGCTAGTTGTGTTCAACGAACGGTAATAATAATCACTCATTGTGCGTGCGGTGCCACCAAGAAAAGATTGAAAAAGACTGGAGGTGGCACAATGCGGTCAGAAAGAGGAAGGAGAGATAGAAAAGGCAGCAGGTGACGAAAAAGGCCCATAGAAGTTGGTTTGTAGCTATTTGGAGCTGCGTTAGGGTTAAATGGTGGGAGTAATTAGTACTTTGGATTTCTAATGTTATGTGGTCAGTGAGCCTTAATCGTCGTCCCAAAGCTGCGATTTATTGGATGAGCCTGAAGAAAGGCTTGCCCTGGCACAAAGCCTTGCCCAAGTAGGTGGCCGGCACGTCGTTGATCTTGCCGTTGAGGCCGTACGCGTAGACCGACGAGGAGCTGCTCCCGTCGTTGACGATGAGGTTGGCGTAGGCTCCTGTCGCGGCGTAGGGCGAGCCATCGTCCCATACGGCGTCGCCAGTCGTGGCGTTCTTCGTCAGGCTGATCAGCAGGCTGTCGGCCCCACCTGAGTGTCAGGGTGTCATCGTATTAATTTCAGGGTTATATGCACTTTATATGGGGAATTAATTTTTTTCTTGAAATTTGTCGTTTGCACGTTATAGTATTGCTTCAGTTAAATCCTGATCACTTACATTATTCATGAACTAAAATTATAAACAAAAAGTAATTTTAACTGCATTTGAACGGTGGAACTAAAATCTGACGGTAGCACTATTCAGTTCAACTTTCTCAGTCAACATTCAAGCATTTACTATAGCTTGTGCAGACATGCAACTGACCTGACTGCTGGTAGTACTTCTGCAGTATCGGTACTTGGTTATCCTGCTGGTAGAAGCCAAGTCTAAAGCCCTTCATCTTCTGACACAAGCTCCTGGCAGCAGTTATGGTCATGACGTCTTTTGAGAGCCAGTACACGAAGCCATCCGCAGGCTCGTGCTGCATGTCCGGTTCTGCGTTAGGGACGCGCCGGGAGATTATTTCAGCGGAGGATTGTTGAAGTTAAATGTTGATTTGGTATGAAAATATTTGCTGTGTAATTCGTGTGTGGGAGAGTGAAACGCGTTTTAAGGTGAAAGGCTGACGTTATTTTTAGAAGTCATTAAAAAGAATTGTGAAATGCTTGGTTTTGAAGCAATTCTAGACGGTTTCAAAATTGTATTTATTTAGACCGCGAATGTTAATTGGTTTTAAGAACTTTCAGAACATGGGGCCAAGCTGAAGTGAATAGATTTAATTTGTAATAAAAAACATGAATTGCAAAGTTATTTGTGCCGTCGTAATGAGGACTTTGCTTCTTAAAAAGGGAATTTCAATTAAGATGAATACATTACAAGGTAATATAAACTGCGCTAATTCATACCACGATTCCTTCATATAATAATTAGAAATTTCAAAAAATCCAGTCGAAATGCTGAGTAGTGAGTACGGTATAATTCAAAGCCTATGTGTTTAGAGCAAGTTTTCGTTCAAATTCAAATTCGGCCACGATATACTCAAAGTTAACGGAAAATATCACAAAAAATAATTGTAACCTAACTTAGTACACGAGTTATAAAACTATTAATCACCAAATCACACAGTTTATAATTAATTAAAGCTATTCTCGTGCAATTAACGCCTCTAGTACGCACGTTCGACTCTAACGGACAGGAAGGCGCCTGGGTCGAGGAAAGGCTGTTGTTCGAAGTCGACGGGCGTCGCGTTGTAGCGGCTGCAGTAGTACGAGTCCTGGGCCAGGTATCCCCCGAACATCTGACATTTGGGGTCTGTCGCACACTTGCCCGAGCACCGACCTGAGCAGATAATGAGATTATTTGTTCAGAATAAGATGATTAAATAAGATTAATTAGAATAAAAAAATAATATAAGGATAGTAATGATGATATAAGGAAATAACTTTGAAACTACGTTGATTTAGGAAATGATTTCCATGAAACTACGCTAAATCCATATTTTTTTCGCAACTTCACTTGCCTGATGGGTTATTTCTCATACATTTGGGTCTAGAGCTTTTATGAGATATATCCACCATCGCAGTTATATGAGAAGAAAATTACAATTACAGTACATCAGCTCCAATCAACGCAGAACTCACGATCATCGTAAAACTTAATGGGATCAGCATACCGTTCGAAATCATCATCGAATCCATGTTAGTTATCGCAGAACTTATTATGCTCGCAAAACTCGATTTTAGTATAACTCACAATCATCTCAGAACTAAGGAACATCGTAATAATTGGATTCAAGCTTAATTAACTTCCCTTTTACTATAATATTTGTTTGCCTATGAGGTACATTTTTTCCAGGTTCTGAAACTTTGACACGACCGACAACCACAATTTAATAGTACTGGCTCCATTGATCGAAAGAGAAAAAAGTCCAAATAGAATTGTGTTCGGGCATTCCCCATTTTCTCTTTCTCCTATTGAGAGATTAGCTTCACTTTTTGACATTACTGTCTCATTTGTAATGTTATGTATTTTGTACAATGCGTCTTCGTGGCTTCTGTCCATCACACTAATCGAGCGCAAATAATTGCTAGATTTCAGCGGTTGTTCCATAAAGTCGTACATATATATATATATTCTTATTGTTTTTCTCTATTCGGCGAATTAGGCTCTTAATAGGAACTGAAAAGTCAAATATCAGGTTTCCAAGGGACATTTTATTATAATTTTAATTTTACGACGTTTCGAATGCAACTTCATTCATTATCAAGTACAGAGGACGAGTTTTGCAACAAGTGAATTTGAAATTTTTGAAATGACATTAGTACAAACATAGAGTATTATGGATACAGATTAGAAAGGAGATCTGTATCCATAATACTCTATGTTTGTACTAATGTCATTTCAAAAATTTCAAATTCACTTGTTGCAAAACTCGTCCTCTGTACTTGATAATGAATGAAGTTGCATTCGAAACGTCGTAAAATTAAAATTATAATAAAATGTCCCTTGGAAACCTGATATTTGACTTTTCAGTTCCTATTAAGAGCCTAATTCGCCGAATAGAGAAAAACAATAAGAAAATTGTCAATAAGAAATACTCTCTGGTCTTCAATGAAACCTGCATTAAAGAAAATCTTCTGCCAAACTACACCAATATATATATATATATATACATTCTTTATCGGGGAACAAATTTCTCTCAAAATCTCGATCTTTTCTGACGAAAATGTTTTGATATTAAACTTAAAACAAATCCTACTTTTTTTCTATGAGCAATCTTCTGGACGAACTCGTTTGAAATATTTAACTGAGATAACCCGTTCTGGAAGACTGAATGTTCAATTACATGTGCATTTGCAATATTTAATGTTCGACATTGGACATTCAACTATATTAGAAACTCAAGGTCAATGTTCATGACTTTTTCGTGGTTTTATTTTGCTTCTGTCGTCAGTAAAATAATGATGGACCAACAAAGCTCGTAAAAAACATTAGCGTAGCGAGACTGCAATTTGATGGCGCGTGCAGAAATAATTTCATAGCAACGGACTCAGTTGAATCGATGCCCAACTGTACTGTAATTATCGTTAGTACGGGTCGGAAGGTCAGATGCCCAACCGTACTAAAATTATCATTATTGTCACGTTTCAGAAGGTCCGATGTCCGACTGTACTGTAATTATCGTTAGTACGTGTCGGAAGGTCGGATTTCCGACTGTACTGTAATTATGCATTTATTTTCGTGTTAAAAATGTAATATATATGAGAAATAGGCTCAAGAAGTGATGTTTTAGAAATAGTTCTAGCACCCATAAGTGTTCATAACCATTCTGAACTGATCCACAGGTTATAATTCAAGCTAAAAATTTATTATTTAACCCGGAAACGATTATATATACGGGTACAAAATTAGCATAACCTTTACAATAACAGCGTATTTCATGACTGAATTCTTATAGAGGGAAAATCACTCTGAAAATTCTTATTATATTCGGCTACGAGGAGAGTAAATATACTTTTTCGTATTATTCTTTAGTAACGGAATGAACGCCAGAAACTTTCGCCGGCTGAACATTAAATAAACGGAAGCATCGATCATGTATTTACGTTTCAATCTACTAACAAATTATTCTGGGGCTACTAGGAATCCATTTCGGTTGACGGCCATGCAAGATGATGAATCGTGTATAAATTCAGGGACGGTTTGAAATATTTAACATTGATCGTGCAAGAGTTTATTGAAGTCTGCCGTATAAGGCTACACAAACTTTGGTTATTTGATTTTCAACATCGTAGAAGATTTCAATAAACTCAATTATTATGTTCCTGCAGTACCAGGAATATAACAGTGTAATATTCAGAGACACGTGTTAGTGCAACAACAGTGCAGAGACATGTGTTATAAATAGCGATTTGTCTATCTCAAAGAATAGGGCTATATGAAATTAATGAAAATTTGCTTATTTAAATAACGCACAAAGTTGAAGAAATTTCTAAACGCAAACCAGCCCTCAGCGATCATCCCTACTGCATTGTTGAATATACATTGTTGAATATAAGGCCAATTTCTGATCCTCTGTAAAAAATGTCATTTACGAATCGTATGGAAATAAGCACCATATAACTCAAACTTTTCGTATCAATCGACATGACTTCGTTAAGCTCATAAATCAATGATTAGCTGCCCCTAATGTACTTAGTTTTGATAACTTGTACTTTACTCTTATTGCCTCGGATTGTTAAACACGCAAAGGCGCACGCTTGAACACACTCGTGAGTGAAAAACTGTGGTTGCCAACATGTTTTTGGCCGTGAATTTGCTCTTTCCTCATTCTGATGATCTAAATATTTTTTTGTGTAACTAGGTTTAACCGATCATTGATTCAGGAGGTACGGCAAAACAACCTCTATTACTAAAGCCTTTGAACTATTTTCTCTCAGTATTGGCAACATAAGTGATCCCGTTCCCACTGACTATGAATGTGGCAACTCAGTCATAAAGTGTTGGCAACATAAGTGGTGATCCCGCTCCCACTGACTGTGAAGGTGGCAACTTAATCAGACGTGGGATTGAGTTGCCACCATCAGTGTTTTCAACATGAGTGATCCCGCTCCCAATGGCTGTAAAGGTGGCAACTCAGTCACTCAGTGTTGACAACATAAGTGATCACGCTACATATTAATAGCTGTTTGATGGTGTCGACATTATCACGGTAAAGCTATGAGCTTCTTGAAGAACGTTATGGACTCTGATAGACGTTGCTACCGCGACTGAACTTCGCTAAAAATTTTAAGAATGCTACAGTCTTGAGCATATCTTATATTTCATGCTAATTCTATTTCAGTCATCATTGATGAATATAATGAGCTTATTAATGAATTGACTTTTTGTTCTAGAATTTTTCTTTTTCATTTCTTTTTTTTAATTGTATTCATCGAAGTTCAAACGCTTACAGTGCTTATAATTCAATAAAAATACATCTTAATTTAAAAATTCACGAATGCGTAACTCACATTCCTTGGAGACACGTTCAGTGGCGTAAGCGAGGGCTTTGTTGTAGGTGAAGCCCGAAACTGTGAGAAATAAGTCGGTCCTTTCTACGGTAAGCCCAGTCGCAGCCTTATTGAAAATCGAAACCAAGAAGAACAAAGTTAGGAATTTTCCCATTTCGAAGTCGACCTCTTCTGTTTATTTGATTAAATACTTGAATTTTAGTTTCGCGAAGACTTTTTTGCTGTGCGTCCACGGGTCAGTGATTCGTACTAGTGTACATGAACGATATACCTCGTAATGTTCTTTTCTTATTTCTTCCTCAAAAACTTCTGTGAGTAATTTTTTGGATTTTTCAAGTCCAAAAACTTTTCTACACCGTTATAATCCAGCTTATTTTTATTTCACCTCGACACCTTCCACCACACAAAAACGTCGCCTGAAAACGAGCCCAACAAGAGGGGGGACTTATTTCCTTTGTTCCTGAGGCGCTTGTGAGCGGCGTAGCTACGACGAGCCGCCTCCGGGCATCAGGTCCATGGTAACCATCGACCGCGATGGAACATCGTCAATTTATCGAACATTTTAATTATCAAACTTTTGCGTACAAAGAAATAAGCTATAATGGAACTTTTAAAGCTGTAACATGCAACGTTGTTACCTTGTATACGACGTAAAATGGTTATCATTTATGCGTTTAATGTCATTATATAAATATTTTTTTGTCATTGTATAAATAATTTTTGTCATTGTATAAATATTTTTTTTTCATTGTATATATATAAAATTCCTTCAATATCAGAAATGGTTGGCGCTACAAATGAAAAATCTTGTGTCAGTTTATAACATTAACTTCTCGATAAATCTTATATAACTGATTGAACATGAAAATAAAAAATTGCTCTGTCAATTAGTTATAAATAATTAAAATAATTCATGGTTTCCCGAAAGTTTTCAATTTCGTGTCCATTTGTGAGTATTGTTTCATTGTCTCTAGTGCAGAAGCTCTGTAGGTTGGAACAAAGGCTGGACGTACTGATTTTTCGATTATCAAGTTTTATGTGCTATGTATAGTTCAGAAATATATTTTTCCTGTTTTTCTAAATGGAAACGCTGCTAATTGGAGGGAGAGTGAAAAACCAATTTCTTTATAAACACGCTACTCAATCAATGGAATTTAATGCATATACTTAATAACGGAGGTTATTATGCCAAGATAAAAATGCTGACTACATATCTTAGAAATAAATTGTTAGCGAAACCGGGTAGTTGAGTTATTTATCAGACTTTTATAATCTAAACAATTTGCAAACCCATACAATATATTAACCCTAAAAATATGCCAAAATAACGCTATCTCTACACAAAAATTCGATTTTTGTGCGTTGACTTCGGGAGCTTACAGCATATAAAGATAAAATTTACAGCAACAAGCCATGGGCCGATGCTATCGCAATATACTGTAAACCTATGGGCCGATGCTGTAAACGCAATAGAAAAGTATGTAAACGCAAACAGTAGAATAGTATGTAAACGCAAGAGATTTGTATTATATTGTATCAATTGTCAATTACATTTTAGAAACTATTTTGCAAGCTGCACTCGATCTCATCTATTTATTTATGGTCTCCATATATTTATTTAATCGCCCATCAACCTTGATTATTGGGTTAGTCGAACAATATACTGTATATACGTATATTCGACGAAATTTTACCGTTCGAATTATTAACTAAAAATCATACTAAGTTTAAAATATATAAACTACAATTAATCTTTGAGATCAGGATTTGTAATGGGATGTTTGAACCAAGAATGAAACGATAAATTTAGGACCCTCTACATTTTTTGTAGCTGCATTATGATGGAATGATCACAGCACTGCAGATAAATGGCTTTCCTTCTCCTGGTCCGTGAAGCACATGTTTTTCTAACGCAACTGGCTGATGTATAGGAAGGATGAAGCGTCCTTTAAGTGGTTGTGTAGATTGAAAAATTGTCTGACTAGAAATAAAATTTCCATGTTCACTGATTGATTGCTTACCATCGCTGGTGGTTTGAAGATTTTGATTTGGAAATTTAGCACAAGTTTTTGAATTATCTCGAGGAGAGCTACTCCTGATCATTGAACCTAATTCTGGAGCTGGTGCGTAAGAATCGTAATTATTTGCACCAGAAGAGAAAAGCTGGAATGTCGAATTATCGAGGGATATGATACGTGCTGGGTTTGGAGATGTCATGTTTTCTACCAAAATTTTAGATGCACTGATGCTGCCGGGGCTTGATTTGAGCCGATGTCCCCTGGAATATGTGCGCAGTTGTGGAGAACTTTCACCATGTGACAGTGTAATTTGGCCAGGAGAATTTAGCGAGTGTCTTTCTTTCAATAAATTTTCTGTTTGCTTTGGCAGTAACATCGGACAAACGGCAACGCTTGAGTTAGAAATGCTACAAGTAGGCCATGGGTCCACTCTTGCTACTGGTAGAGGATGGGAACTTTCAAGCCTCGTACGGGACTCTGAAAGGGACGATGGGATTTTTTTGAGCAGAGGAGCAGGTCTGGAATAGCAATTTTCTTTGCGTGAAAATGTAGCGGATGAAGATGAAGGTTGTAAGTCTTCACCAGAGTCGTTCAGGTAGCGGTGAAGGAGGCCCTTCTTGAAATTGGTGATTGGCCACGACTCCCGGTCACAATAACCTGTTTTAAAATTTGATTATGAGGGTATATATTTACATATACATATATATTTATATTTTATCTGTCATTTAAATACATTCACAGCCACATAATTCAAACCGCCTTCTCAACAAAACTACGATTGGAGGAAATGATTCACAAGCCCTGGTAAATGTCAGAAAGTTTCTTTTAATTTTGGGGTTTAGTCAATTTATATAGATAAACACGAAGAACAAAAAGATTTTTTGATTGTGAGTGTTTTTTAACTCATTAACAAAAATGAGTTTAAACTTGCTGGCAAAAAGTAGCGTAACAATTACACACAACTAATAATTATTGAGATAAATAGTGCAAATACTAAACGATACCAATTACCGAAACTTTCAACAAGCCAACAATATTTAAATCCTCCCGCTACACACATTTTGGCAACATTAACCGATAAAAATTTACTACGTACTTGACGCAGTTGATCTTTGCGATCTCTCGTTTTCAACCCATGTTTTGGCCTCGATGCTTGCGTCCTGCGGCTTCCAAGAGTTGATGAAATCTTGAGCCTCTATTGGGAGGGGCTCGGACTTGCCGGTGATGAGGGAGTTGTAGCGCTGGACGCGCTCTTCCCAACACATCGCCAGATCCCGGGTAGTGTCCCGCACCCTGCGCCGCATGTTACCGAACCATTCACTGACCTGCGGGCAGCCATCAATTATATTAACACATCGCCAGGTCCCGGGTAGTGTCCCGCACCCTACGCCGCATGTTACCGAACCATTCACTGACCTGCGCACGGCCATCAATTATTAACATATCGCCAGATCCCGGGTAGTGTCCCGCACCCTGCGCCGCATGTTACCGAACCATTCACTGACCTGCGGGCAGCCATCAATTATTAACGTCATTCCCGGGAAATTGAGGGCCAAATATTTAGAACCATACTCGAAAAGCAAGAGAAATAAGAAAGTTTGGAAGTGTATTAGTCGAACTAGATGTAAATGCAAGAATTGAAGGGAAAGGTGAGACTGTGGACAAGCAGGCAAATATGATGAACCATTGTAAAAATACAAACGTGATGCCTTCAAGAAAACAAAGAATATCGAAGTCTGTCGAGAAAGAGTCTAATAAAAAAACATCGAATGAAGAAAATAAGCAACCTGCGAAAAAAAGTGCAGAGATATTCATTATGAATGCCTTTTGAAAAGATTGCTTAAGTAACCGCTCACTTGCATCATGTATCGTTGCTGTAATTCAGGTGCGACAATCAGGTTCAGTTAATCATGTTATCGGTGTGATAGATCAGACCAACTAAAAGCTTTGTGATAGTTTTAAAAATCATCATTCTTATTTCTGATACGTAGGTGGCAATTTTGTGACGTCACACGTCAAACGTTACATGGTTCTTTTTAAGAGATCTCTCTTTCGACCATTAAGAACGCTATGTTTTTTGTTGCTAAAGGCACATTGAAGACGAACGCTCGCTACTACGATTGGAGCGAAGCCAGACAAAGCTTCTGCCAAGAAACGTATACGTAGAGCACACACACCGTACTCCTGTAGCAAGGGTCTAAGCGTCAAGATTTACCGATAAATGTAATGATTTTAACACTATAGACTATTTTGGAGAAAAAGCGAATAATAGCATAATTAACGATAATTTTGATAGTACACGAATGGCTGACGTTTGCGTGAAGGTCATATTTTACTCTTTTCGTAAACAAACATGATATGAGTGCCATTTTTATGCGATTTGTTTTTAATCCCGTATTATTATTTGTGAAAATTAACATGGATATGGATGTAGTTGATATTATAGCCAATAAAACAATAACATGTTACATGTAAAAATCTTGAAAAAATACTCTAAATTTTGGACAGAATGGTGACTCCGAAATGCGTTACCTATAATGATAAATTGTAAGATACTTGCACTTCCGATGCAGAGAGTGAAAAATAATTGACTTAAACTTCCATTCCAAATCAACCCACAAAGGCACTAAGTCGGTTTATACAAATCAATTGAATAATATTAATACTACTGATGTGATTGGATGATTCCTTGGGGCTCATCAAGCATTTGGAAAATTAAATTTTTTAAATTTTTCTAATTGACACCGTGTTCAAGTACGTAGTTGTGCGTCACTGACTGCTACCACATGTCAACAAATCACCGCAATGATTCTACACCTAATAGCTTTTTAAACCGCAATCAGATCGTAAATAACAATGTTTACTGGGTGTGATGGACCAGACTCCAACATGTCTGCCGTAACTCACTCAGTTCGCTATTTGCGAGCTCTTACTCAACGATCTTTTGTCACGACGACGTGGGTCAGCTGACATTTATTTTTACTCATGCGCAAGTGTTGCTTTGAACATTAAAAGCAAAACTCGAGTGTATCATTAAGAATCTTTAAACAAAATAAATTAGTCCATAGTGCATTATTGAAATTGCGTTTAGTTTCGGGAGGAAATGGTCTTGATTTTGAAACAAAAATTATTCGCGCAAATTGTTTCAAATGCAGTACGTATATATGATAATTCTAAATAGTGCATCATTTGGGCTTATTTCATACACAGAAATGTCATTAAACAATTTTAGTATAAGTGATTGTTTGATTGATCGACAAGAAAAATTATATTGTTCCTGTATGAAAAAAGTGCACGAAAATTCTGAAAATCAATTTAGGCTCATGGACTCACCTGGTTTCTTGACATGTTGGTTTGTCTGGCTAGCTTGTCTTTTTGTTCCTTTGAAGGGTAAGGATGAGTAAAGTGAGTTACAAACCAGCGTCCGAGAACGTGACTTCGTTCCTTGAGGTAAGCTCGAGTGCGGTGTTCTTTTCTCTGCAAAAACTGCCTGCCAAAAGAGGGTCGAGTTACACGTTTTTACTGCCCGGCGTCCCCTCCATGATTCGCAGCACGAGGGGAAATAGTTAATAGACGAGCCTAACTTTATGGGCAGTGGTATAGAATTGACATTTCTTGCCATAAACTTGATAATTATCAAATTTATGGAAGTTTAATTAATTATGGATATTTTTACGGCAAGACGAAATAATTTAAAAATCATCTACGTTTACTGTAATGTAAAGATTCATGTTTTAGATGTTGCTGATTCTTTGTGCTACTAATTATTCTCTACTAGTGATGTTAATAGAAGTTAATAGAAAGGTACACAAGATTCTATTCTTCTTTTAAATGAAAAAAAAACGAAAGAAAAATATCAGATCGACAATTTACAATTACTTGTCATAGTTGGGTGTTGAATTTTGACTACAGAAAGCCCCTGTCAACATATAAACAGATGGAAATCCTGAAGAAAAAAAATAAAAGCCCGGAAGAAAAAAATCCTGAAGATGGAAATTTAACCGAAAATATTTTATTTTCTGCGATTCACTTACCTATAGTTTCGCGGACGTAACCTAGAGGGTCTACCCGAGACGTCCTCAATGGACTCTCCATCGTCGTCTTCTGCTTCAGGAAGAACGCCCTCCTCCCTCGACGCCGATCTGATCTCCGTTACTGGGGAGTTCAAGCCCCCGTTATTGATAGGGTTTGTGTTCTCCACCACTGAGCCGGCCCGGTAACTGTCACCAGCGCCAGAAGAATGGGGATCGGACCCACTCGATGGTTTATTTCTGTTTCTTCTCGACCAACACGATGCTCGTTCAGTCAGCCACTTGCGAAAACGCTTTCTTCTGTCTTCTTTCTCACCCCGTTTGCTTTGGTCTACATGATTATCTTTTTCTATTGTTTTCGAGTGGTTTCTTTGCGGTACAGGGTTCATAACAGTTGTTTCGTGGTCCTGGTGATTTTCCAGTCTAACGCTTGTAATTTTACATACTTGGTTACTATTACCTTGTCCCCATTTCTCAAATACTTTCTGAGTCCATCCTTGAGAATTTCTATTCTCTGACGCTAGTATATTCTGTTCATCACGATATGTTGCATCGCTTTTCAATTTTTTGCGTACCGGGTAATAGTCGTCTATCTGTGCATCGTCGGGCTTGGCTCTGCCAACGCATTGACTGAAAATATCTTTAATATGATAGCTTGGTACTTCACGCGTATTTTCTTTAAACTTGACACCTAAGGGTAAACTAGTTTGCAAACCATATACATTTTTGTCTGGGTGGCGGAGATTGTCAAGCTTATCTTCCGGAAATGTTTTTGTACTTACGTCGTCGGCACCTCTACGAAACTCGGAGATTTGGTCTTGAAAAACCGAGCTTGGTGTTTTATGCTTTGCCTCCTGCAGCTTCTCAAGTATCTTGTGATGCAGAGCCATACCAACAGAGGAAATGCATTGCTTCTCATTTTGAGTTTCTTGCCTTCGCTGTACATCAACTGCTTCAGTATTTTGAAGAGTGTTGGTGAGATCAGAGCTATTCTGACAGACTGACACGTTTACAAGCCCATTCTTGTTACTCATCTGATTTTCGATTATGTGTTGAGAAACTGATGAATCATTGCCAATTCTATGTTTATCCTGGTCTTGCTTTTGTGGAAATTCTGTGTAAAAGTCATTCATGTTTACAGTAGAAATGTTCTGGAACACTTGTAATCTGCTTATGCCCATGTGAACAGCTGAATTCGTTGAAAAAGTTGGTTGATAAGTTTCCTGATTAGTGACGTTCAATTTAGAATAATGTGTTGATAATTCTTTCCGAGTTTCTTTCTGGTTCGAAATTGAGTGAGCTTGGTGCATGTTTACCATAATTTTGGGTTCCATTGGTTCAATGATTGGAATGTCAATCTCAGAGATCACCAAGTGCAAGCATATGTTTTGAAACTGTTTCCCGAATAGAAATTTAATTAATTTGATTACCCATTGATTTAGTCATTCGGAGGGAGATTTTCGTCAATGCTCAGATTAAACACTTTCGTCTTCAATGGCCCCTTGAATTCGGTTTGAAAGTTGTCCCTCTTGACATTTTCAGCAAGCGCAGTTTTATCTGGAAAAGTATCACGTACAAATTAATCGAACAATATACGAAAAAAATCCCGCTAAACTCTTCATCATATTCAATAATTACCAACTTAGCAAAATAGTAGACAATAGTGAAAATCCGATTGGCATAAAATTAAATTAAGAAATTATCCTTAAACTTAATTTACGTATGCACGTGTTAATTCTGTAAAGAATTTTCTTCAAAATGCTACCAATGCTTGAATATCTGTCAAAAATATGTGAAATTCATAAGCATCACTATTGCTACACCCTAAACAATTAATGTACCGGAAAAGCAGTAGTTCTGCGTTCTCAAGTCTGAGGAAAAAAATGAAAATAAATCGATTACAAATTTTCCTTTACCAAGGCCATGACTTGCTAACTCGCGAACACTCAAAAGAATACATCTATGCTTTTAAAATAGGATATGATCAAATCATCTAATCAATTAACTTGTCATTTGAAGAACATCTTAACGAGTATATAAAGAGATATATCATCCCATTAAATGGTCTGTCATTTTAAGAACAGCTATACGAGTAAATCTAGTGATATATTAACCGATCGAATAGCTTGCAATTTCAAGAATAACTAATTGAGTAAATAATGAGATGGTTCTTTCAATCGAATCGATGTCAAATCAGAAGCTTCTTAACAAGTATAATTGGATATTAATGAAGTGTTATTCTACTGAACGGTAAGTTGAGTCTACTGAAACAAACTATTATTATAAAAATGTATTAAAAGTATAAAAGTATTACGAACCTCGGACGATTAATGGTTTGTCAAGTGCTGACAACGCAACAGTCGCTACCGCGGAGTTTTCTGCCCGACTGGTGAGACGCTGCTATGCCTGGACGATGATGTCATGCCCGCGTGACTCATGCCCTAGGCAATACTTCCTATACCCTATGCTAATGTGTTTATAATAATTAAACAAGGAGTGAAAGTATCAATATTTCTTTTGCTAGCTTCTAAAATAAGATCTAGACATGTATGTAGACACCAGTTTTTTTTCGTTTACTGTATAATTTTACGAGTAAAAGAGGTATAATTTCCGTGGATATAATTACGAGCTAAAAGACGATTGAACAAGTCAGAAAAGATGAAGAACTTTGGCAGTTAGTAATAGACGATAACCCACTCATGCTGTTAATATTCCTTTATATTTCATATAATATGCCGCATTATAGAGAAATTGCAATATTTGAGTCAACCAAAGTAGCAGATCTGTCAAATTTGAATTTTGATCCACTGATGGATTTCAAATGCAGCTTTAACTTATCATTCGACGTAATTTTGAGAAATAAAATAAGTCAATGACACATCTTGCCACGTCAAATGCCTTTCACTAAACTCGTCGTCCAGAAATTAAAAAGATATGATACCGGACACAAATGCATTGATTTGCATTGAAGCTGCTTACAAAAATTTCATAACCGTAACATTTTAGAGAAATTCTTAGCAATTTTTTAATAAAATAGTTTGTAGAAAAGCGTGGCGGCTGAATTAAGTAAGGTGGCGAGTCAATTGTGTCAGTGCCGGTAGAAAGCAACTGCGCCAGTTCACGTAAAAGCGTTTACTTTGAAGCGCGGCTCATATCACATTGCGTTCACATTATAACTATCAAACATTCGATTCCTTTTTCGAATGACCGACTCCTTGTTTGTCAACTGACGCTAATTAGATTAAAATAAAAATGTTATACTCTATAATACTACCCTGAATTGCTAAATTTGCCTGTTGATTACAATAGTTAAAAAAGCTTCCACCAACGTCTCCTTGAATAAAAAAATTCACCGTTCGTAAGCTGGCCAGTAGCCACTTTTATCACCATTCATGGTATCAAAGCATATAGCGTGTAGAATTAGCAATGCAAACTTTATACGAATGTTTCGTGTATTTAACTCCCCAAGAATAATCCCTACTTGTAAAAAATAAGTCGAATCGGAAATGCAGTCCCGAAATTAAATGCCATTTCTTTTACCTTGCTGGGAATCTACCAACACACAAAATTTTCGTTTCATTTGATATTAGCGAATTTGTTTTCCAGTATAAAATAATAAATATGATTCTTTTCTAAATAAAAGATAGTCAATTAAAATTTCGCTCTTCTCACTTACCAATATCCAATATATTATTTAATATATCATAGGTATATGTATGAGTTCCAGTTCAGGGTATAGTGGGACTAAGTGAGATCATCACAATATGCACGTCTGACACATATGCATTACTGCTTCAAAGCCTTCAATTAATTTTCTGTGAATCATTGGCGCTGAATAAATAATAGTCAAAAAGTTAAAAAAAAGTACAGTCTACAGCTAAAATTTCAATATAAATTCACCAGGTGTTATTAAAAAAGCAGAAAGTTATAAGTCCAATATATAATTTAATATATTTGAAGCCCGCTGCTTGACTAACAAACACAATTACGTCGTTAAACGTTTCTCCGTAATGCTGCATTACGTCTATATAATGCTTCACCATCGCCTAACACACTCACACCTTTATATTAGAGGTTATAATTTTCATTAGTATTCACTGACTCACAATAAATGCTCGTTATATTAACACTTAACACAATAGAATTATTAATAGAATCACAATAGAATTAGTAATAGAATCAAGTGTAAACACAATATTAGCCTAGCTAGCCTCCACCTCCTCACTCGCGCGCCGATCACCAATCAAGTGGCGCTCAGCAGGCAACGGGCGAGAGCAGCAAGCGTCGTCCGTCGACCTGATCCAACGAGATGAAACGTGATCTGTTGTGTTGGATTTTCAGCACTCGCTCTAATTTGGCTTGCTTATTGACTTAAATTTACCAAGCTTATGTCATTTTTGCTGTTTAATTTATGTGTGAATGCATTTCGGGCGCTTGTGCGCCCCGAGACGAGGTTTTCGATTCATTGCTAATCGGTGTTGAGAAAGGTGTATTTTCTGTACAAGTTTGTTCAGTGTTGTTTCTGCTACAAACATATACGGTGAACCTTACTCTGAGTTCTCGTTCAAGGTAAAGTGAACTTAAGTGAGATCATCACTATATGCATGTCTGACACATCAATTTCATGGCTTCATTTATTCATCTTGTGAGTTACTGGTACTGAAAAAAACGATGTTTAAAAATTAGAAAAGAATCGGTCTAAAGCTAAAATTCTAATTGATTTTAACCAGATGTTATTAAAAATAAAAAGCTTTGAAAGTGATGAAAGTTTCCGATTGGCCGGGATCGTTTTGAAATCAAAATAATAAATTTTTATTTAATTTGGGGTTTATTATATTAGACAATAGAACCAACAATTTTACGATAAATCTGTTATAAATCTGTTTCTGATAAATATCAGAAACAACATATTTGATCTCTTACCCAATAAGCGTGCAGCGATGAAGATTTTTCTTGTTTATTATAATGTGCTAAAAATTTGTTTAGCACGTCTTGATGGCCATTTCCGTTGCCCCAACTCCTTAAGTTGGATGAAGTGTTAATAACAAACAATAAGTGCAAACAATGTCTTATAAGCTATATTATAATGGTCACAATATGGCAATAAAATATGGCAGTGAGCACGTGTCATTTAAAAGCTACAAACTTATTACATTGTGTATATTTTTTATGTCACATTCACTCTGGGACAAAATTCTTAGAAAAACAGGAGGTGTCGAGCTGTCAGCAATAATGACTCACCTCGCTAATGTATGTCGAGACCTGCTGGCTTTAACAGTGGTTTGAGTCGATAAATTATCAGTTGAAGTAGTTTAAAAAAACCTTTTTAATTATGTTCATGTGACTCTTGAATGGTTGCTCTTTACTGACAACGAAGTATAAAAACTTGTTTCCAAAATCCACAGTTATTTCTTACTTCTTATAATAGTGTCAAAGATAAAACCTTGCAAAATGTTAATAAATTACGATTACGCATGTTGTATTGAAACGACGCTCTTCATGTGATAGTATGAAACACGGTTACTAACGTAACGCTACCGTCAATATGAATCAAGCGTAAGCAAGACCTCGTGGATTCACAATCGCGATCGAGAAAAACTGTTGTACGAGCTCCACGAAGGCGACGTAAAAGTGCTTGCTTGAGAGTTTACGTTGGTCGACGTCTAAAAGCGTCAGTGTTCGATGGACACGAGTATGTCATTGGTTGGCATGCGCCCATGTATTGGGCTACCCTCACTCTACGTGTTCCCTCGCTCTGAGGGGACCTCTTTCTCCAGGTTAGTTTGCTTCAGGTATTGGCTATCTAATTTTAACACGATGCTCGCTCCGCCTATCAACAAGATTTTCTCCATCTTGTAAGACGTGATGCGTTTCATTTATTTATTATTTTTATATAAAATTTGTATTAATGGGAACAAATTTGCCCTTAAACTCGAGTGTTGCAAACGCTATACCACTGTATTGTGCACTTTCAATGTATAGCAAAATATTTCACGATTTGCTCTAATCTGATTTACTCCCATCAATTATTTAAAATCGCATGTATTGAACTAAAGTTGCATATTATGTACATCAATTTAAATTATGATTTTACTCGCTTAAAAATTGACTATTAAGTAACAATTGTTCAATGTTTTCCACTCACATACGTGTTTTTATCTTCGATAATTATTGAAAACACGATAATTTTCGTGATAATTTCAAATATTTACATGTAAATATCAATTTTTTTCTCTTTGCTGGCTCGTGATTTGATTGTTGATGTCGAGAGACATTATTGCGTTAAAACAAATCTCAAATTAAATTATTAATTTTACAAAAAATTTTAATTTATACATAAACTAATCTGTTCTCCAAAAGTTCCAACAGAGAACTTATGGATCTATTTATATCGTTAAAAGCTAAACTGAGATGTGAATGATTATCAAAGAAAACGAAAAAGAATTTACATTCCGGCTAATAATTTCGAGATTCATCGTTTTATTAGTTCAAATTTTATCCGAGCACTTACTTTTACCATTAAAAGCAAAAAATTATTTAGCTAGTGAAATGCCGAAGCAAATTTATTCGATTCGATTTCATGCATCGCATTTCAAAAAGCTTTTCTGGATGCAGGTTCCTCTTTTGCTAGTGCTTTCATTTTATTTTTTGGACAATAAAAAGAACTTCATCTTTTATTTATATAATTGGATTCTTTTCATTATTGTCACCTTCACTATTTTAGTATTCTAGTTACTATGCTATTACTACTACTTCCAGTATAGTCATTCAACATATGAATTATTCTATTAATCAAATTCAAATTTCGATCAAGGAAACTTAGGCCGCTGAAATGCGATATGATGTTTTTAAACGATATAAACCGGATCAACATTTTCTCAACGTAAACTATTAAGATTTTCGAATAAATCACCAGGAAATCTTCACATACCATGCGATACGATGTTTTTAAACGATGTAAAACGGATCAACATTTTCTTAACGTAAACTATTAAGATTTTTTAACAAATCATCTGGAAATCTTCACATAACACAGCACACAGTGGACGATGATGCAGTTGAAGGCAGAGCGCTGCTGTGTGAAGGCTCAGCGTAGGTGATAATGTCGGCCTTCACCACAGGCTGCTGCTGCTCCTGCTCGGCCTTCGTTAACCGCACGCCCAGCAACTCTGCTGCAACCTGCGTAACGATGCGTGAAAGCATGTTGTGGTCGGCTGCGAACCTGTGATGTCTCTCGCTCTTGACCTGTCATAAGTTAAACTTTATCTTTATAAATAATTGAAAGTTATTCACTTGACTGCGATCGAGTGATGCATCATAGGGACATTTTTGTGTTCCTTTCCGGTTAAAATATTATTTGATGAAAAGGATTTTTTTTAGTGAAAGGAGAATCATTTGTTATACAGGATAAATAAATCTCATGCTGCAACTGATGAATTATATCTTTATTAGTAGTTCAATTTGCTGCCATGAGTTGGTTGGTTGGAAATTTCCGAAGTTGATCGTCGAGAACTATTTATTTATAATTGTTCTTACTACGATACTAACAATTAATAAGAATTGTGCGAAGTAATTAAGAATATACCGTCAATACAAAGATATTTATGCGACAAATAGTGTTTTAAGAACAGGTATAAATTTTGGAAATGAAATGAAGTATATTTTTACTCATAAAATAATTTTAATATTTCAAGGTGTTTTGAAGAATAGCACATACAAATATTTGCAATAGATAAAATGGATAGATGACTCAATTTCACTAATTGGTGTCATATCACTCATTTCTCTTATAAAAAAGTGTTAGTGACAATTTCAGTTCATGCAAACCCTGAATATTCTTGAGTACTCTGCACATAAACTGTAAAGGAATTCTGCTGAGCCTGCTACTGCAAAAAACGTTACGATTTCACACGCCCTGAAAAAAATATTTTCTTTATATTATGTACATGAGATAATCTAAAGTAACAGAAATTTCTTACATTATCTGATTCTGAGAAATACGTATATATTTACTCGTCATGATGCACAAACAAAAACAATGCATTCACTCAATTGATTGTGCATACGAGATCATGCCTTATTTAAGTACTAGATAATGCCCATTATCTAAGCTCACTCCAAATAGCTACCTTGTAGCTCCAATACTCCTACCAACAACTCCAAGCTACCAAGTAGCTACCAACACTGCTTGCAAAATTTCCATTGACGCTCGGATTCAAAGTAGCTCAGCTGTTCATATAGATTCTCCAAAGAAGCGAGTTTCGCACAAAGGCAGCAAACGCTTCAAATGTGTCAGGTATGAGACAAGCCTAACAATTACTAAAGGCTCCCATGTTCACTTGAAGGTGTAATAAATTTCTTGTAAATAATCTTACAATACTCCTACAATTTGCCTCACGTTCTAGCAAAAAATCTACTAGCAAATATAAACCTGTGTTTGCGAGTACAGTGATTTTGTTTACACAACTTTCCAGAAAATTAAAATGAAACCGAGAAAATTTATTACTCCGAAATTGAGTATTGTCCGTTTTTTAGTGCATTTTCTCATTTTAGGAAAAAAGGCGCTATTGTGCTCGTCATGTCAGTCCGTCTGTCTGTCTGTCTGTCCGTCCGTCCGTGACTTCACGTTTTCGTTAATGAGAAAATGCGCTCTCTGTCAATCATTGCAGTGAGTATTGAGTTCATTTTTTTTAGGATCGCGTTAATTGGCTAAGGTAAAACTTGTTTATATACACGTAGCGTCTTAAGTACACGTAACTGCGTTTTTCTCGGGTGTGATTGGTAGATTAGGCTTGGATCTCTTAACTATTTATGATAGCACTGCCATACGACGTGGTTAAAGAAGTGAGAACTATATTTTAAAATATTTCCTCACCTGTCTGATGTGTTCAAGGTCTGCCTTGTTGGCGACGAGGGCCATGAGAGGTGGACGGTCATGATGACGTGCAGCCTTCCTGACGACCACGACCCAGTCCTGCAGTACGTCCAGTAAACTAATCTATTGTGTTGATTGGGGGATTTATTGTAAGACCTAAAAACACAGAGTAGTTGCTGCATGGGCGCCGTACAGGTACTGAATTAAGCACAAACAACCTACAATGAAACTAATCTATTGTATTGATTGTGGGATTTATTGTAGGAACTAAAAATCATAGAGTAAAGTTGCCGCATGGGTGCCGTACAGGTACTGAAGCACAAACAACCTAAAATGAAACTAATCTATTGTATTGATTGGGGGGTTTATTGTAAGAACTAAAAACCATAAAGTTGCTACATGGGCGCCGTACAGGTACTGAAGCACAAACAACCTAAAATGAAACTAATCTATTGTATTGATTGGGGGATTTATTGTAAGAACTAAAAATCATCGAGTAAAGTTACCGCATGAGTGCCGTACGAGTAATGAACCACAAACAACGGTACACCAGGCAAATGAGGTTAAAACAACGTTGAATTAGCGTTGATTTTATATCAAAATAGAGTTCAATTCAACGTTGATTCGACGTTAGAAGTCTGGTGGGTCGAAAGTTTCGAGCAAAAATCGAGTTCAGTAGATTCCGGTTAACATACCCCTTTCATGGGCAAATCTTATGCAATCGATTTTGTCTGGTTCAAACTAACATATCAATTGAAACGAACTGATTAAGCAACGTATATGAAACAAGGCATCTTAAATTTTTAATATGATCATAATGAAAGAAGAAAATATGTTTCATTTGATTATTTTTCTTTAGATCCATTTTGTATGTCGTCTTGAAAGCTGCTACAAACTCTTATTATAATAGAGCTTTGAATTATTAATGGAAGTACACTTTCAGTTGATTTTTTTACTTAAACCACAGGTTTATAGATGTAGCCCAGACGGTTCAAGTTTAACAGGTTGTCTAAAGTTTGAAGGCAAATAATTTCATGCATAGTAAAAATAAAATTGGTGCAAATTCTTTTTATAACGTTCAGAAATCTGGTTTGAAGCAGGTTAGTGCTACTGATTAATAAAATCTGAAACTCAACATTAAAAAATATGCAAAACTGAACATATTAAAATTATTTCACGGAACTTCACCTTGTCCGTCATCTTGCCGTTGAGGGCCACGCCCGCCACGTCTGATATTTGCATGTTGACATTCTTCTCCGCTCCCAGGACGAGACGCTTCAGGTAGAATTCAACACCAACTGAAGCCTGTTGAAATGAATAGTGATGATTAATGAGGTGATGATTCAACAGGTGATATTCCACCAGGTGATGGTTCAACAGGTGGGGGTTCAATAGGTGATGGTTCAACGAGTAATGGTTCAACAGGTGATGATTCAAGAGGTGATGGTTCAACAGGTGATGGTTCAACGAGTAATGGTTCAACAGATGATGGTTCAATAGGTGATGGTTCAACGAGTAATGGTTCAACAGGTGACTGTTCAACAGGTGATGGTTCAACAGGTGATGGTTCAACAGGTGATGGTTCAACAGGTGCTGGTTCAACGAGTAATGGTTCAACAGATGATGGTTCAACAGATGATGGTTCAACAGACGATGGTTCAACAGATGATGGTTCAATAGGTGATGGTTCAACGAGTAATGGTTCAACAGATGACGGTTCAACATGTGATGGTTCAACTGGTGATGGTTCAACAGGTGCTGGTTCAACAGGTGATGGTTCAACAGGTGATGGTTCAACAGGTCACGGTTCAACAGGTGATGGTTCAACAGGTAATGGTTCAACAGGTGATGGTTCAACAGGTGATGGTTCAACAGGTGATGGTTCAACAGGTGATGGTTCAACAGGTGCTGGTTCAACAGGTAGTGGTTCAACAGGTGATGGCTCAACAGGTGCTGGTTCAACAGGTGATGTTTCAACAGGTGCTGGTTCAACAGGTGGTGGTTCAACAGGTGGTGGTTCAACAGGTCATGGTTCAACAGGTGATGATTCAACAGGTGATGGTTCAACAGGTGCTGGTTCAACAGGTGATGGTTCAACAAGTGGTGGTTCAACAGGTGATGGTTCAACAGGCGGTGATTCAACAGGTGATGGTTCAACGGGTGATGGTTCAACAGGTGCTGGTTCAACAGGTGATGTTCAACAGGTGCTGGTTCAACAGGTGATGGTTCAACAAGTGGTGGTTCAACAGGTGATGGTTCAACAGGCGGCGGTTCAAGAGGTGATGGTTCAACGAGTGATGGTTCAACAGTTGATGTTCAACAGGCGATGGTTCAACAAGTGGTGGTTCAACAGGTGATGGTTCAACAGGTGGTGGTTCAACAGGCGGTGGTTCAACAGGTGATGGTTCAACGAGTGATGGTTCAACAGGTGCTGGTTCAACAGGTGATGTTCAACAGGTGATGGTAACGAATGGTGCACTAGACTTCCATTCATCTGGTGCAACTTGGAGGTTGTTCGTTACAATTTTCACGAGGATAGTATTTGCACAATATAGTTCAAAATCATTCGTCGCAATACCTTCACTTAATTGGTATAATACATGCAATTGCTACTGTACATTCACCTTCTACAATATATTAACATATTAACATACTACAATACAAGTGACAATTCATTCAAATAGTATGAAATATTTTGTTTGTATACTGTCACAGAGTAACACAATTACTTGTTACAAAATATTCACTTGGCATAATACATTCATAATGGTACCATACAGACAGCTGCTACAACACATTCACCTAATACCATACAGACAGCTGCTACAACACATTCACCTAATACCATACAGACAGCTACTACAAAACATTCACCTAGTACCACACAGACAGCTTCTACAATACATTCACCTGGTACCAAACAGTCAGCTACTACAATACATTCACCTAGAATAAAAAAAGACCGCTATTACAATACATTCACCTGGTACAATACAGTCAGCTACTACAATATTTTTACCTGTTACCATACAGTCCGCTACTATAACAATACTTTCTCCTAGTACAATATAGTCAGCTACTACAATACATTCACTTAGTACTAAATTAACAGTCAGCTACAACAATACGTTCATGCACTACAATACATTCACCTGGTATGACTTGGAGAATGTGTCGTGGATATACCGCGTTACAATGGCAGTTTTGCCGACATTCGGAGCCCCGACCACAGCGAGCTTCACCTGTCGCTCCACGCCCTCAGCCTCGTCATCAGACATGCTAACCTGGGGGCATGAGTGGCTGAGTTAAATTTTGCCTTAAAATGAGGAAAAAATACTACTGAAAAATTGATTCTATAACTGAAATGCTTTTCGCTACTATAATTACTTCTTTGGTGCTGTACAAACAATGGTGCTATGCATGCAAATTTAAATATGCAATGGATAGCCACCCGTTGTAATTCAATGAAGTAGATATTTTTGGGAAGCCGAGAATCTGGGGAAGCCAGATTCTCAAGACGAGAATATTTGTGAAGCCGAGAGCGTTAGTCGCTCTTCGTATCATAATTCTCATTCAAATTATGGGGCTGAGATAATGCACTTTCCTATATGGACAAACAACAATGTAATTATGAATTGTCCGCGGTAAAACTTAATATTACACATATCATCAGTGTATTAATAACATTCCACAATCATTAAATATGATCATAATATTGAATCGTTAGTTGATAATTCAAATATAATTCTAAAGCTTTTTCGTAGACTGGTCAGATGTTAGAGCAAAAAAAAAAAGTTTCAAAGATAATTCGTACCTATTTCATTACGTCTTCATTGTGATAATACAAATGCTTGGTGAAATGCTAAAGAGTCAGTGTAAAATGGTAGGATAAAAATTTATGATATTAAGGAAGGATAAAAATTGCCCACTATTTAGCATAAGGATATATCCTGTTTAAGAAAACACCCTGTATTAATTTGCTTGACACGCTCTAGAACTATTCTGGGCACAGACAGAATAGAGAATTTCTTTTCAGCAGCCAAAACAACGCTACTGATTGTTGTTAAGCCAGCAAAAAAAATAAAACAGGGAATAATTTCACTTACCTCTTTTGCTGCCTGTTCTTCAATCAAATCGCCCTCATGAATTAGATTCAGAAGAGTATGTTTTATTATATGATATATTTAATTCAAAAGTTTTCAAGGCCACAAGAACCATTCTCGTAAATTCGAAGCATATCTCAACAATTTTCCACAGTATCGGATCTGCTTCGTCCACAAACAAACTTGTCCTCCTTAATTCGTTCTATATATTTATACTGTGTTTTTCTCTATATATGTACGTATTCCCTCTGATTTTTGAAGTCTTTATCAAGATTATAAACGCAAGAATTGTAACCCATACCGTCTAGTCCAGTCAATGAGTTTGTTTTGATTCAGTGTAGCTGCAGCTGGTGAATGCCGTCTCCATGGTTACGGCGAGAGAAACATTTCATTTCCCTAACGATGCATGACAATTCAATGATAAAAAATTCTGGAAAATCGAAAACTTGACTATTTTTGTGTGAAATTCACCTGTAAGTTAAACTTACTGAACACAATATCTCTGCTTCGCTTTAAACTCACTTATTATTGTGAGCTTGTGCGAGAAATATTCTTGTGCTAACTAAAGTATTTGGGAAAATAACTGAAGCATTACGTTAAGTTTTACCTCAGCATAAGAACAAACGCTATGCTTAAAACAATATAATACTCGAAGGAAATTTAATACATTATATGTTATTTAATTCATAATAGAAAAGTGGAATCATTCTTTAACAAATATATTTCGTCTCTGTATTTCTGTTATTTTCAGATCATTTGTCATGGAACAAATATCATACAGTGTTCTTCATCGTTTGATAATTAGGGCAGTTATGGTATTCTTCTTCAAAGCATTTTTTTAATTTTCTTATTAAAATAGAGTGATCAGAAAATACATATTGACATCGTTTCAGTGCTCTACACATAATACGTTCTTGAAAGCACACGTGAGAGAGCAAGCTCAACAAAATGATCAATAGCATTTTGTTGTTAAATTTCAACATATCCTTTTTAATCTTTTCAAATCCTTTTATTTTTGATTTGAACAAACATTTCCTGATTACATTCATACTAAAAAAAATTAAAGACAAAATTACCACCTTAAATGCATCCGATAAACATATACGTACCTATAAAATTTTGGTAAGCCTAACAAAAAGAGAGCTGAAAGGCGTAATTTGATCACAAAGGCGCTCTTCTAAAATGTATTCAGATAACCTGCCGCCAAATTTTATTTTTTTGCTATTTAATTAAAACAAATATACTTTGCTGTTAAATTAAACCAATGATTGTACTCTGCCTAACAACGAATGAGCGCGTCCATTTCAGAATAAAATTTGTAAATATTTGATACGACGCTGGAAATAGTAAAGAGAGAAAACAAAAGAAGCTACATTGAAACTACGAAGCGTGCTCTAGATTTCCAGATTAAATTTAGGAAATTGAGATTCTCTAAATGTGTTGGAAGCCATGTTGTGGTGAGATGCTTTTAAATATTCTAAAGAATTTCTAAGCTCTTTCTCGTACATTTACTCATACTGATAAAATTCAATATTAGTTCGATAAAATCCTGAAGTATTCTCCCTTCCTTTTAGCTACTGAAACTAAAATCAAGGCAATCTTGATTTGATGATTCCCTTGATTAAAATCAAGGCAATCTGGGCAATCTATTTATGCTTTTAAATATTTTAAATAACTTCTAAGCTCTTTCTCGTACGTTTACTCATACTTATATAATTCAATATCACTTCAAGAGGATTCTGAAGTAGTCTCCCTTACTTTTAGCTACTGAAACTAGAATCAAGGCAATTAAATACCCGACGTTTCCGAGGTCGCGCATGCTCAAGACGGATCAATCCTCCACTGAAGTAGCACGCTTGCCCCTCCCCCACGCCGTTTCTCCCCCTTCCTTGCTGTCATGCCTTCGAGGTTCTTATTGAATATTCGTTTGAAATATCCTCTCTGCGATACTACTAGATAAAAGTGGAGGTGAAAATTTGAAATAGAAGAATGAAGTAGCAAAGAGCATCATATATATTTTGATTGTGCATCCAGACGAAAAAACTAGATTGAGGTGAAATTTGAAGCGGTTTCGGTGCCCACTACTGTCGTCCGTCTAGACGTCATATTTCGCAAGGCATTGTTCATTTTGCTAAGGTTCCGAGCTGAAACGACCGCAAAATCATACAATTTACTCAACACTAAAAATTTTGCACAAACTTAAGAACTACTTCATTATTGCTGTGAGACACAGAGCATAAGCAGAGTGTCGCAAGTTATCGTACGTCTGGATCTGGTCTGGAATTGCTAGGGTGTCCGAGTTGTTCACGGCACGCGCTGCCTTCTGTACTTCGCTGAGCGCGGCAGGGTGGGCTGTGTCATGTGTTTACTCTGCATTGCCCTCCATGGCAGTCAAGTTGCTTTGTTGTAATATTATATTTATCATCGCGAATCTCACATAATAAATCAAAACTATATTATTTATATGAAAGTGATTTGTGCTCCTAATCTATCAGGATTATACAATTTACTCAAACTTTGGATTGTATACAAGATGCCATCTGAATCGTGCGGAGCCCTAGCACTGCTTTGTGTTGATTCCATCAATTCAAGGTATGTATCAGTTCACACAAATGCCTTGACGTTTACTTGTGTAGAAATCGTGAAAATAATTCATAACATTGAGAAGGGGAACACAAAAATTCATGAAGCCAAGCTAATATTATCCATAATATCCATCATTTTGGAACGGGGCAATTTTAATAACCACTTTCAAATTTAAGCGTTTAATCAGATACGTTGCCAGGTTACTGATAAAAATATTGTACGCGGAAAAATTAAGCTATTAAACATTAAGTATTTGCTAAAAATCCAATTAAATAACAACTTCCTCCGCAACGAGCTAGGGGAAAATTTGTATTTATGTAGACATTCATGAAGTCAGCTAAATTGAAAGCTTATTGTTTTTTGATCCCATGTACAAATGTTGCACGCTTTGCTGTTCATGTGAAACCTGCATAACATTTACGTGCCTGATAATGGAAATGTCTTCTTATGAAATTGAATTCAACTGTGGCTCTTGAAAATCATGTCAAATTCCTTCACAATTTATAGGGATCGTAGCAGGTCGCTTAGGGGCCAATGATGAGCGTGTGCTCATTGATTAGGTAATTGTTAATGGAATCTCTGCCACGTTTTTATCTCATAATAATGTTGTCGATTATTTTTAATTGAAATAAATAAATTCGCCGAATAGCCCGACTATTAGTATCTATATAAGCTGACTTATTTTTTTCCATTTATTTGGTTGCACGTCATCTCAAGAGAAATGGTAGATAAAATTGAGCAAAATAGATTGTTACTCCGTACGTTTGCATTATTTCTTCCCACGCTGCACTGCATTCATATAGCATGAACTTTTCGCTTTTACCAATACAAAAAACGCTCGCATGGACATGCATGGGCATCATTTCCGTATATCCTGCGCGTTATGCTGAACGTTTTTCCGTCGTTTATAATGACTCTATAATTTGGTATGATAGTTTGGATCAATCACCTCAACTCGAATATAATTCCACATTGCGTTCTATAAGCCTCGGGTGAATTATTATCGAATGCACTCTTATCGACCGGCCCCCACAGCAGCGACTGCAAATTACCCCAGAGACCTCCGCTCATACCGCGTCTGGGAAGTGCATGTGGTTGAAAAATTTCTCTTAACGAAGAAAATTTACAAATAATTTGGCCGGCTCTGGGTCAAAACAGGGAAGTCCCTCTCTTATCGAGGGTTTTAGTCTGGTCTGGCAAGTGTGCATTTTTCTTTGAAGTTAAGTCCAATTAAGGTTGGAAAATTTCGTGTTTCATCGCCGCGAATCGATGATTTATAAATTAACGTCGTTTGTGATAATGATGTACAATTCTTTCCGATCTCATATATATAGTCGGAAATTCGATATTCATGATCGAGTTAAACCAAACTTGTTGTCCAGATTTCGAATCTTACTTGTTAGTCACTGCAGGTGTGAATAATCCTGGATACTCTAAAATCGTACAATTTTCGACGATCGGAATGGTTTGTATTCACACCCTTCCTGGTTACACAACATTTCAGGATTGAGGATACAAGGATAATTATTTTTTTCCTTGTAAAGATTTAGATTTTGTAAGACTGAAATGTATTTCTTATAGGATTTATAGTAAACGTGTATGACAATGTGACACATATACATGCCTAACAAATTCAATGCTCTTTCGGCATTGGGTAAATCAGCCTCAAGTGCGTTCATGGAAATAATAAAAGCTTCTTAATTATATTGCATTGTTGCAGTGGATCTAAATCAACATACAAAGAAACTCAGCCAGGGCAATAATTATTCAAACTTCTATAAAGTAAGTTCTAGTTTCAATGTAAGTTCAGTGCAGTGATCCAGCCCCATGTCTTCCATGAGCTGATAAATGCATTGTTGCAGTCGATTTAAATCTATATACAAGGAAAGTCAGCCAGGGTAATTAATAATTATTCATACTTCTATAACGTAAGTTCTAGTTTCAATGTAAGTTCAATGCAGTGATCCAGCCCCATGTCGTCCATGAGCTGATAAATGCAGACGTTGAACAACGCGATGTTCGTGACAGGCTATAAGATCGATGCCAGACAGCGATCACACTGCTAATGTTGATCGATCAGTCGCAGTGCGCATATAACGCCTGGGCAGCAGCTGCGCTCATGCATACACCAACGCGATAAGTACAACCCTAGTACCATCCACAATAAGTATAGCTATCAGATAAGATAAGATACTAGAAACTATGTTTGTATATAATACTAAGAAACTAGTTTATATATTTAAATTAGTTTCATTTTTAATATATTATGCAAGAGTTACCCACATACATCCAGGCATAACTGTTAAAATAGTGGCTAATTTGCTTTCAAACATGTATAGCTGCCGAAACGGTGATTCAATGACACGTACATTTATTATAATGCAGGTATTGAAACAGAGATCTAATAGCATGTTATTTAATTCAAGTGTTAAAAATGGGAATATCATTCATCCACGAAAAGAATGGCTTTCAAAATGCAGTGTTTGTTATTTATGAATAATTGGAAAAGCTATTGAATGATTGATAACCTTCCACGAGAAACGCTGCTATTTTAACTCTCATCATCTACTACACTACAGGCATAGCTTGTGAAATCATATTAATATCATACACCTAGTCAAGAAAAATTCCAAACGTTATGCATGGGAATTTTATGATTTTTTTTATGAGAGGAGCTGTTGATATGCCAAGAAGAAACGACATTAAATGCCATGATGCATTTACGACATGGAGGCCATTGCTTATCAGTAAATATTTTATGGTCAGCAGCAAAGTCACCAGATATAATCAGTATGCAATTCCAATTAATTTTAATAACGAAAAAAATCAAAATTAAAATAAACAATTTTATCCTTAAGTCAACTTTGGGAAATGAAACTTAATATTGCCTTAATATACACAGTAAGCAAACTTCCGATAACAAACAAAAGCTGGTTTTATTTGGTTGTTTTGCAGCGGCCGTGTTGCTTGCAAAAGCTCGGTGGCCATGCACTACCCGAGAAACTATTGATTGTCAGCGATAGCGTGTCTGCCACACATAATTGTTGAAGGTGTTCACGAAATTGTTCATGGAAATTACGAGTTAGAGACCGCAAATACAGGGATGAATTTGTATTTTATTTTCATAAAATTGTATATTTTTAGCCCATTTCTCATTTATGGAAAAAACGCGTTATTGTGCTCGTCATGTCCGTCCGTCCGTGACCTCATGTCCGTCCGTCCGTGACTTCACGGACGGACGAGAAAATGCGCTCTCTGTCACTCACTGCAGTGAGTACCGATCTAATTTTTCTTCTTTTAATCACCTAAAGTTATTTACGTGTCCCAGAAAGAAGGCAATCGATGCGTTCGTGACTTCCATCTGCAACAAATTCCAAGAACGGAACTTTATTGGAGGTAATTAAACTTTGAACTGATCTATCGACCAGCCAAAAATTCTCCCTCGCTGGAATTGATCCCAAGATGATAAGAAAATTTGGACAGACTGATTTTTTGGGGCCGATTGGCGGGCGGCCTGGACTTTAGAGCCAATTTCAGTTTAATTTGGTACCCAGCGGCAGTAAAAGACCAGGTCCGCTAGATGATGTTGAAATTCGAATTTGCAACCACAGAAATTCAGAACCAAAATTTTAGGTAATCGGTAATGATAATTTAAAAATTATTATTGATTATGATAACTGTACTAATCGGAGTTTTTCTAATTGACAATGGCACTGAAACTCAAAAAAAAAAGGAAAAGAGTGATTCTGATGAAGAGCATATTGCTGATCTTGATGAGCTAGCAGTTTAAAACATGTTGTGAAATTGTGGAAGATTTTATAATTGGTTAATATAGTTTCAATATGAGAAAAAAGTTTTGGTGGTATAATTATGAACGCTCAAGTAACTGAAGAAACATTTGTGTCGGTAGCAATACCGTTATTTTAAGTAAAAATGCACTGAAAGAGCAGTTTCTCAAATCTACACAGATGAGTCTAAACGAGTACTATATATACATGTCATCAATGATAGCGATCATAATTAACAATGGGAGCGATAAAGAAAAGTAGCACCGATGATGAAAGCATTAATGTTATAGGAGGCACCTGTTAATGAGTAAGTGTCAATTGATTGGCCCAATAACTAATTGAATTGCCTACAATTGGACAGCACAAATTAGCAGTTTTTAGGCTCCAAAAACATAAAAAAATATAACTCAGTACTCACTGCAGTGAGTGACAGAGAGCGCATTTTCTCGTCGACGAAAACGTGAAGTCACGGACGGACAGACCGACGGACAGACAGACAGACAGACAGACAGACGGACGGACATGGCGAGCAAAATAGTGCATTTTTCCATTAAAGAGAAAATGCACTAAAAATACCTTATAATTATATTTTTGTGCTCCATCGCCAGCGCAATGTTAAAAATTTTCATAACGAACCTCATAAACAGTCACTTATATCGGTCTGCTGACTGTTCAAAGTCAGCAGCTATCATAGCTGCCCATCGGTTCAGGTTACTGATGAAAAACCGTTAACAAAATTATGTACGACAATTTATTTACTCTTTCATCACAGTATTACCCACGAATAAAGTATATTTGTATCAAATAAAAAATAGATTTGAATAGCGTATACGAGCTACAGTAATATTATAGGTTATTTGAGTCTTCGCTTCGCTCTGGTTTTTTCTCGCTGTGACGTTCACCTCTGCAGTCTTTTGATATTGATCTTGGCCGACTCGGGCCGGTCTTGCTGTATCCGCTTTCTGTAATTGATATCGATCTTTTAAGTGCGTCAAACATTACAACCATTATAATTATTTTCATGGTATTTGCTTGATTCGAATACACATCAACATCGAAATTATTTTCCTTGCAAGTCGCATTTTCAAAGTCGATTTTGAAGGTTAAATAAAGTCCTTCAGGCGCATGCGTCCTTCGTGTTCCTGCCAGAGGTGCTGCCATTTTGCGTCGTTGCGCAGTTGAGGTAGGAGCTGAGCCAGAGCTTCACCATTCTCCGTGAAGTTTGTATGAACGTCTATAAATCATGATATTAATAGATGCAAGTGAAAAATCTATGAAAATTTCTTAGTGTCACTATCCGTGCAATGGCATCAACAGTGATCCCGAGATTAATTAGAGAGAAGATAATTTATGTAGGTCATCCTCTTTCTAGAAGCATCCAGTGCTCGTGAATGGGCGTGAGTGCTGGCCTGAAAATTAGTTTGAGAAACGACAGCTTTGTTTGAGCTTCGATTGTTCATCATCATCATGACGGCCGAGAAAAAGCTTTGCGCAGGCATTATGCTCTGCCAGATGACCGCTATTTTATCTGGTGTAGCTTTGTTATATTTAGCTGTAATTGTAGTTATTCCTTCAAAAGAAGAACTAGAGTTAGGCTTTTCCACCACGCCCATCATGTGCACGACAGTCAAAGCTGAGGACATAGCTTTGCATGAGCCAAAAGGGGACAAAAAAGCCGAGTGTTCATGGGTGACGTGTGGTGAATGGTGTTTATCAGACACCGTCTCCCCGTGTATGCAAATCCATGTGCTAGCCAGAAACAACGGCTCCAAAGTGTCCTTTCACGATTGTGTTGACGTAATACAAGAGAGATGCTCAGGTCTCGACGCTAACTTAACCCAGCCATGGAAGTGTAGAAAAGGACAGTGCAAAAATCTGGACGGTCTCTTCAACTGTACCAGAGAAGGTAACAACGAGTGCCGTGAAATTACGTCTGCCTATGAGTGCAAGAAAACTGTTAGTCCAACATCGATCACTTGCACTGATGAGAAATGCGAGAAGCGCCTGCATGGCGTAAACTTGTGCACAAAAGGTGTTTGCAATGAAGTCAAGAATGTTAGTATTTATTGGAAAGATTGTGACAGATTATGTACTAATTTAACCATGGGCGATCGAAATACTGTAATCTTCAGCAAAGAAAGACTGTACGCCGCTAGCTGTGGACATGTAAACTCGTCGTCTGCTCACCAGGACAACAACACAATCGAGCTCCTCAATTCCAACCTCGGCTGGAAAAATAAAGCTAAAGTTGCGTTCATTTTCTGCACCTACGTCAAACATCAGAACGGTAACAAATTCTACGATCTCGTCATGGAGGATTGTTTCAATGGCACCGTGGGCGACGCTAATCGAGTCCAAAACGTTACAGATTTTCGCGATCTACTAAGCTATCACAAAGAACTGACATCAAGACCGAGTGAATTGCTCATCAACACGGAGGAATCCTTAGGAATTATGAACATCACTAAGCTTTTGATTAACCCCCAGGCGTGTTCGAACACTCTTAGCAGTGCATGCGCCAAGTTCTTCGAAGGCCATGCTGCAGATGGCTTGGATGGAACAACAGCAGATCGGTTTCCGTGCTACTACACTGATAAAAAACACGACTTCGTCATCGGCGTATACAACCCCCGAAATACTTTCATCTTTCTTCTGCTCGCCTCTGTAGTTCCCGGAGGTCTATTTATTTTTGCGTGCTTCATTCTATTCCTCTGTTCGAAGAGCGTGGGAGTGAACGATGAAGGCCATCTACATCTAACTCTTCTCAAAGGCGCAGGCAATGGAGGTAAAAGCGATCATGAGGACAGTGATTTCAACGACCCCTAATCCTTTCGACATCTGAGGGGTATCGTCCATCCTGGACTTTGAAGCCCTCAGAGTAGGTGACAAAATAAAGATTAATGCTTCGGCACCAACGCTTCCGACTTGCATGGACGTCCGATGTTAGCGGCTTAGTCTTGGTCTTGAGTCGCACGCACAGTTTCATTTCATCAATGATGCCGACGCTCTTTTTAGATTACTAAATCAAATCATACTAATGATCTCTTTCGGAATTGGTATTCATAATACATTTGAAACTTTCAATAAATATGTCCATTAGTATATTGTTGCGCCTTTTTTGAGGGTACATAGAGGATGATGAGTTTTCGCAAAATAATTGTTTGACGAGTAGAATCATTCAGAAAGCGATTCTTTATGCATGTACAATAAAATGGCATCCAGCGCCAAATCATTGTAGAAGAATGAGATGTTCAAATGAACATTCGCTTACAATAGAAAAAAAATGAGTTTATTTGAAGCATAAAATGTTTGCGTGCGATTTACTTTGCCCAAATTGCTTGCTCAAAAGTTATTTACTGAATGAAGTATCCAATTTTGTTCGTTGGTTAAAAGTATTGTAGACATGATGATTCGACTAGCTGCACTCAAGCATGCCGCTGATACATGTATTTACCGCGCTGGTCTGCGTTAGAAATAGGTTGCCTGTCATAGGTTTATGAACTATGAATATATTATCGCATCACTATCAAGAATCACGATAATCCGTATTAATCATCGCGAACACCAATAGCTTTGTATCAATAGTCCAGAGGGACAATCAATGTTATTGAGAGAAACTATGATTGTTTTTTTCATTTTTTGAGTACCCGATTCGTCGAACATTTTCGAATTTTCTCAAAATGTGTACCTTTATTCTTTCACCACTGCTTCACACGAGTTTAATTTCCGCTTCAAATTCCACAGAATTATGCAGTATCACAATTACTTTTTACTCACCATTGTTTCACTTTCTTATGCTTCAATTGAGCACAATGAAAACGTAAGAAATTCATGAAAGTTTTCTCCACAATGCACTATTTCAGGAAGTATTACGCAATCACTTTTTATTCCCAATGGAGCTTCCAGAGACCTCCAATTATTCAATATATTTCTCACTTCTTTAAATAATATGAAAAATAAAATAATGACTGCTTCAAATATATTTCACTGGAATTTAATGTCTTTTTCCTCCTGAAAAATGTACATTGTTCTATAAATGTGCAAGCTTTTTGCGTTTTTAAATTCTGATCGAGCTTCCATGTCTTTTAAGAAAGCTAACACAATTTGTATGCTTCTGAGTAACTTAAGCGAATTAAAAAACGGATTTACATGTACTCATAAATGAACTTTTAGTGGAAAAGTCTACGGATGTTACAGCGTAAAGTTTAATTAACATTTGAATACGACCGACAACGTGTTCCATTCCTAAACAAAAGCCTAAATTAGTTACTTGCATTATCGCAGTAACCTATTTGTAATTAGTACTATCTACATTTCACTAGATATTTTCTTTTAATATAGGAATATTTATCAGATTTTCCTATGATTTTATATGGGATTATATTGGACATTCATTTTATAGCCCGTTTTTTCTGGCTGCACAGATAATATTTCAGCAAAATATTTATTTAAATTTAGTATTATTTCTTTTAAATGTTCTAATCCGTCTTTTTCCCGTTCCTGCTGCCTGGATATGCGTTGATATGGTTATCATCTCAATCATCTTCGTGGGATTCAAACATGGATGCTGGCTATCGCTGGATGCATGTTTACGTTCAATATAAAACATGCACACGTTCTAAACGACACATTCAATTTTGCATTTATACTTCAATCTTTTATCACAAATAATATCGTATGGTTTATACATTTAACATTTGTTAAGTACATACAAATACATGCATTTAAGCTAAATCATTTACTTTTATTAAACATTTGATCTTCAACATTTATGTCATTTTATATATATTTGATAAATATTTGTTGGTTGATGTTCTTTATTGGATAATATTTTAAACTTGCCTGTTAAATTACACTATATATTGCCGCAACTTTTTAAAACTTTATATATAATTGGCATAACAGCTGTGAACGACCCAGTACAGTTTGATGAGCTCTTGTGACCGACTAGACAGCAAGAAACCCAGTCTGAAAAGGAAGCTTTGACACGACTGACAAACGAAAAATCTTCAAACAATTCACTGGATAAGAACCATAGTAGTGGATTAGAAAACACTTCTTTCCATTCCAATGAAACTCTTCCATGTTGATCACTAACATTTTTGTCGATTTAATCACTTTTTCTGCTTCTAGCAGCGATTTTGGTTCACAACGAACGTTTTTGCTCGTATGTTCCAAAATGCCTTGAAGTTCCATGCACTCGCTATAACTATTTGCTTTATCCCACCATTGAGTTTTAATTACTTGCTTATTCACACCGAGATTTAAAGCTTTAAACTGTGCATGCAATCGCATTTTCTCATATTTCATTGTTGGGATATTTTAATCTAAATTATTTGACGTTTCATCGGGGTTAAAAATTTCATGTTTGTTCAGTTGTTGGAACAACTATTATTCGGAAAACAAACGATACACAGTAAAGTTACTGCACTTGAAGATAAGAATAGAGCTTTTTAAATGTAGTTGTATTTTTCTTATGCATATTGAACATTTAGTTCTCTTACTTTCAAAGCTTCATTGTTATCGTACATTTAGTACTCTTATTATCAAAGCTTCTTTGAAAAGTGCCTGAGTTGGTTTGATAACTAACAGCATGCATGTTGGTGTGATTTCCCAATTACCGTTGATTGCACAGAAATTCCAGCGTGATCAGTAACACCCACTGAAAATTTAATATTTTATTGTTGTGCCAGCAAAAAATTTTGAAAATGGCCGCAGGAGATTCTTTGGCGAAATTAAAGTATTATACAACCTTGACTCTAGGTCTCGTGGCATGCATGTCATGCTTTATATTTTTCTTCCTTATTCCTTTCATATTAGATCCTTCCGTGTCCACTCTTATGGCAGACTTCGACCCAGATCCTGTTGTTTGTAAAACTATCTTGACGGAGCACAACTACGGTATGAAAAACTGCTCCTGGTCATCTTGCAAGAACGGTTGCACCGTGGATCAGTATGAATGTGACCGAATTTTCGTCAACTACATGGCAAAGAAGTTTGAGGATTTCGAAGGGACTGAGTACTACGAAGATGATGACGATATCTGGGTGGTTAAAGGTGTCCCAATTTTCGTGAACATCAAAGGTTGCGGTTACCCTCCTCAAACGAACTGTACCATTTACGCTGACGAATTTGGCCCAGTTGGTTCGATCTTTCCTTGCTACTACTCCAGAGTTCGACCTAACCTCGTCATCACAGACTATTCTTGGGAAGGCGCCGTGCATCCTATGATCATGGCATTGATCATCCCAAACCTCATTACTGGAGTGTCGTTAGGCTTGCTCAGTTACTGGTGGTATCCAGGATGTCAAAAGAAAGAGAACTCTTATGAAATTCCTCCGGATCAGCAGAGTCAGCAAGATGGTGAAGATGAAGATAAGGAAGATGACGAAAAGAAAATCGAAGATGGAGATGGCGGGACTGAGAAAAAGAAACTGGCTGAAACTAAAATAGATATAATTTCCGAAGATCAGAAGAAAATGAACAGCCTTGCTGGTGTCGAAACTGAGAAGTAAGTAATATATATGTTATTAATCATGCGTTACTTTGATGAGGAACTGTCTGCCAAGGTTGTGATAAAGTTGATTTTTTAGATTTTTTTTGGGTTATCAATTAATTGAAAGTTTACTCGTGCTTGCAATTGAAATCTATATTTTTAGTGACTCGATGCAAGGCACCGCTACCTAGGCTAAACTAAAATTTGAGTTAGTATAATTTCAGTTGAGGTTTTATAAATTTTAAAGACCGATAATGTGGCGATTGGCTAATTTCGATGTAGTCAAAGTGACCAAAATTTGCAATTTCATTGAACTTTCTTATCCACATACGTTTTTTAGAAATGAATTCCCTAGTGTATATAGTATCCCATTCAGTATTACGTCCATCACAAAGTGCTTTCCTGATAAGAAGTAGGCTATATAGAGGCTAATGAAGTTTTTCAGTTAGCGCGATTTAAAGCATCTAATGTGTATATATCCCTACATAATATCACATCAAGCATCAAGAGTTTATAATAAACCTTTATGTGTGAGATACCCAACTAATAACTCGAGGCGCAAACGAGAAAATTAATTGAATGACTTTCTGATGCAAAGCCCGAGTCCCGAATGCATATTACTGATAACAGAATTTTTATAATTCGACGTGGTTCTCCGCGTCTGTTAACTGGATGGTACCGAGCAGGAAAGAATGACCAGATGACGGAGGACAACATAATACTAATACCACAATTTTAATAATTCTATCCGTCTGGTAACTGGATGCTACCGAGCAGGAAAGTGTGACCAGATGACGGAGGAAAACATAATACTAATACCAGAAATTTACTAATTCTATCCGTCTGTTAACGGGATGGTACCGAGCAGGAAAGTGTGACCAGTTGACAGAGTACAGCATAATACTTAATACTAATACCAAAATTTTAATTATTCTATCCGTCTAGTAACTGGATGATACCGAGCAGGAAAGTGTGACCAGATGACGGAGGACAACCATAGCTACCACGCAAGCTGCCACCGCTCAGGACCAACAGAAGTCGTGTTCATCCTCAGGCTTTGGGTGAGGAAAGCGCGCTACAGCCCGGCCCCAGTCAGGCGTTCACGGCGTCTACCTCTTCTCTGCAGAAATTCTAGTTGGAATAATATTCGTCTTACTTCACTACATTTACCACTGTTCAAAGCTTAGTGTTGTAATAGTTGTGATGAAATTTCACTTTTTGAACCTTTAATCAAACGTTCACGATGAAACAATTCTCATGCAACTTCACTGTAGACACTTTTGTTCAATTATTTTAGTTAAAATTCTGATCTAAATTCAAAGTATCCACACCTGTACACGTATCCTGGATGATTTCATGCATCAACTTTATATCGGATAATTATTGTATCATGAAGACCACGGAACAATTTCATTAGAAATTATTTCAACTGTGACCATATTAGTCGAAATATTTGGAAGTAAATGCAGGAACTCGGCAATTCATTTTTAGTTAAATATTACTTTCATGTGGATCGTAATCACCATGTGGTTGTTTGTCTCAAAAAATTGTTACATTTAACACTATGAAAAATCCTCGGCAATTATATACTTTAAGAAAATTTACTATCTTCACTCTCTACATATATGCCTTTCGATGCATCTACGCGATAATATTTCGATGCTAATAATAATATTACTTAAGAAAATAAATACTTGAGATAATATAACCTTCAAACATTTCTTTGAATCTCAATGTAAGAGCTCATTGATTTTTCCGTCGTAGGGCTTTCATTAGTTACCAGAGTTGTGGCCTTGAAAAGTAAATCAAAAAGTTTCATGCATAATGGCCTGTCATTACATCTCTTTTTGAATACCCTATATTTATTCCTTAATTTTGTATTCAAGCTGATTATTAAAGACTGGTATAACCCTTTTGTGATTAATCTTAATATTTAAAAAATCATGAAGTCCATTTGTTAATTATGTTGAAAACTTTTGGCTAAACGTGATCCTAATTATCGGAACCAAATATGAAGTAATTGAATTCACTTCCGTTCCACTGATACCAAACGAGATGAATGGTTAGGCAAGGTTTGCCCGAAGCTATAACTATCACAATTTTCAGAACCATCGAAGTACATGGTAAGTTAACGTGAAGATTTCGATGATTATCTCGATTACTAATTCAAAATGTCGCACAATATCTTGCGTACATAAAATAACAGATATCATACGAAAAGGCCATCAGTTCGAAGTGATGTCATATACTTCATTATTGGTTCAAACGGTATGGACACTTTGTTGGTTTAGTTAGCTCTGCATTTGGAATTTTTTATGAACCAGAATTAGCCTACAACAATAATGTTTAACATACTACCCCTGCTGCTGGTACTTTCAAATGGCAGCTAAATGCGATTAATTAACTATTCTCTTGCTTGGTTATTGTTTTCCAAAAATCTTATTCTGCTAAACAATGCAAAAAGGCTAAATATTTTTAATTATAATCGTTGGATTTATAAGCTGTTCGATGTTGGCCGAGCTGAACTATAGTTCTTTTTATGCATTCAATTTTTAACTGAGTGGCATGAATATTTCTTATTGCCTTGCCCTCTTAAATACAGAATTATACATCCAGCCTCACCCAGATGGGAAAGCACAAAAGTGTTTGGAAATAATTCAATGAAGAATTTTATAAGCTTACATGGCAGAAAAGTAACATAAAATTCACGGTCCTGAGAAGTTTACATGAAGACATATACGCGCCCATAACAAACACATGAATGGCGCGTAACAATACACATGCATGGCGCGTAACAATACACATGCATGGCGCGTAACAATACACATGCATGGCGCGTAACAATACACATGCATGGCGCGTAACAATACACACGAATGGCGCGTAACAATACACATGCATGGCGCGTAACAATACACATGAATGCGGACGGTGGCAGTGCGATGGCGGTTGTCCTCCTGGAGTCTTTGGTTCGAGTCTTTGCCATGAATTCCTAGAAATTCTTGTTATTTATTCCCGTTAATTATTTATATTATCATAAGGTGAATGTTCGAACTGTGTAAGATGTACGTACCGAACAAGAGTGAGCGTATGTGTTATTTTGAAAACTTATAGAATGTTACAGCAGAGAATGTAGAATTTTATTACTGTTGCCTGAATTAAAAGAAAAGACGATATTGCTAAAAACATAATATTATCTATTTCATAGCGTGACTAACTAAAGTTTGTCATAAAATATTATTGAATTACATAACTATTAAGTTTGAACATGTCAGAAAATCTGTATTTAACATGTGATGGATGCAAATGCAATGATGAGTAGCGCTTGAAGTTCACCTAAGTAAAAACTATTCCAAATCTTTGAACTTTTGAATTTGAGAAATTGCGGCAGAGAATTCAAATGGTAATCATTGATAGAATAGAATCAAAATTATAAGTTGTTAATCATTGCACGGCACATACGGCGGATGCTGCTTCACAATATTATTCCCAATTAGTGCACAGGTAACAATGCAATTACTCCCATTACTTAGGTATGCAGACCGCAGTTACTGAGGAATGTTATGGCTTTGATACACGCACATGTGACTTGTTTCCGTCTAATACTAGCGCTAAACTTTCTCGTTATTCTGCAATGTTTTGTTTAAATTTAAAGTTTTAAGCAGCACCTGATATTTTTTGTCTGTTTGTTATATGCTTGCAAGTTATTGTAAATAGATACAGTATATATGCTTACTATTTGCGATTATCTACATATTTTTTAATATGCGTGTTACGCTAAGATCTCGATTGCACAATCCACTGTACATAAATGAAAGCATTTCCAACCCTACGCGTTATCTTACTTATAACTTCCGCTTTAACTTTGTGCCTCGAAAAACTGACTATATCGCTCGGGCCACGCACCTTTATATTATAATAATAGAATTTAACCATATAAGTATTCTATCAGTCACCGTTTCTTCTGAATACTATTTATGGTCCATTTAACCATATAAGTATTTATCAGTTACAGTTTCTTCTGAATACTATTTATGGTCCATTTAACCATATAAGTATTTTATCAGTTACCGTTTCTTCTGAATACTTTTTATGGCCCATTGTTCGTTTGAACACTCATTATTGGTGCTGAATTAGTTGCAAATAGCGCTGAATATTCGAGGGTTAGCCACCGATGATACGCTCATTACGTTTTATATTGTTGAACGGAAATAGAATTTTCATCAATTATGCACCCGTAAAACAATCATTGTCGTCCCATTATTTGTAAGAGTTAGACTCGGGATTGTATCAGTATTTCATTTGAATATTATATCAATCACTTATAATGTATGTTTACTACTTTCATCATGCGTGATATGAAGCTATTAGCGAAATAGTTGGATTTTATTGCAATTGCTTCATGCAATTGATGGATCTTAATTGTACTTCATCGTCGTTAGGTACAACTTCTGGTGACGAGACAGAGGCAATCACGTCGTTGTCGCACGTCATAAAATATTAAGAACGTCAAACATTATTATTACTTGCTTAATGTTCTTGTATTTCAATATAATTCTTCGTCCATTATCTTGCTTATTAATCTTTCTAGTCGATTTTATTTTTGGACTGCGCAGTTCTTAATTAAAAATTTTAAGACCTGTTTTCCAGATTCCCTTTGATATTACCTATTTCACTTTTATTTTTTAATATTTTACAAATTTTATCGTCTGTTATTAGCAAAAGAGAACACAAGGCTTTCGTGTTTAGATAAGAATTAATAAAAGGAGCCAGCAATACTATTCCATCCAGCAGGACAAATCTTTAATTTATTCTATTCCCAGCCTGGCTTATTTACTGGCCAAATCTGAATTGTTTTCATTTAATCAATGAGTAATGTAATTTCGTTCGCAATCCACCTATTCGAATTACCTATTAGATTGATTATTCGAATTTATTGCCCGAAATAAAGTTTTGTTGCTTGCCGTGGCCGTACGATAGCTAAGAAAAAATATCTAGGCATTTCCTCGATGTCGTTTCAAAATTTCTGTACTTCACTTTTCGGTCAGAAATTTTCTGCATCATATTCGTTGACAAATTTTTTTATAAGCGGTGATATTAAACTTTAAATGCAAACTAATCATTCTAAGTAACTTTTAATTATAAAAATACTGTACAACACTATCTGGATTATTTACGATGCACTTTATTGATTTAGAACATTATCCGTAATTCAGCAGATTAAAAAACCGTAATATTTGGTCAAATTTACATTGCGCAACGAGTAGGATGAACCACTGGGAAAAAAGTCAGTACTTTCGAAGTGCAAGTAAAAATTTTAGTTACTTTTAATTTTTTAAACTTGGCCTTGCCACTGACAACGAAATGAAAGCAATATAGTCCATTTGAGCAAATAAACAGCATTGTTTGTTTGATACTTACTTCTGTTGGTTATTTTTCTAGCAAGTGGAAGTTATTCAATGAAACGAACCGGTTTCTAAAATATTCTGTAATATTTATTAGTCGCTGTATCACAGGGCCAGAAATTAACTGAAAACGTTCTAAATAATCAAAAAAAAAAGTTCAGTAGAACCAAAAAGTTCAGTAGAAGTTATCATCAAGAACGTTAAGTTATTGTTAACTGTCTCACGCCTTAATGCTTATTGTTAGCTTACTTGAGCTTCCTACTCTCTTGTATTTATTGAATTTGTAAAGTTCTTTGTTTATAAATTTTAGTCACATTACTCGAGCACATTTTAATTGTTGCTCGCTTCACTGCGTCCGTCTATTCTGTGATCATTTACTAACTAAGAAATTCATCGTCCTGTAATCATGCCATTATTATTATATTGAAAAATATACTCGTTTCAATTCGCGTTGAAAACTTTATGCGCTCTATGAATTACTGGAACTATTTCTATTAGTCTGCTAATAATTGAATTGTTCGACTTACCTTATTTTAGGTTTCTAAAAAAATTATTTACAGTATTTCGTATGCTAATTTTCATAACAAATTTGCTAATTGGCACTAGTGTGATTGTTCATTTAATAAATGTATACATTTATATTAATTAAATTCTAGAGTCGAAATTATTATCAATACATGAGTTTAATGAACCACGATTACATCGTTCGCTATACAGTTCGTAACTGTTATTTAGTTCGGTGAATGGGTATTCATTATTACCAGAACCAAAGGCTTTCTTAATCAGTGTACCAATCACCCGGTTAGTAAAATACAATTGCATTTTTCTTTATTATATTGTCTTTGTCTTGAATAATTGCCCTTGTTTTATATTGAGTGATATTTTTCATTAACATATTACGTGGAGCGACCAAATCTGTGCTTTTCTATTCTGTGCATGAACTTCTCTGCGATCGCTTTTACGCATAACCTTTCTACACCATATTTGCAATAAATTTGCTCAAACGTCTATGTAAATTTCATTTGATCCTAAGATTGAAAAATTATGCCAATGAAAATGAAAAAAAAAACAAAGTCCTGCTAAACAATCATTTTATTTCTTGTAACATCATAACGCGAAAGAATATTCAGATGAAGAAGTCTGCATTCGTTTGCGTGCGTTGACTAACATACAACGCAATAGAAGACAGTGTGTTTGATTATTAAATGAATATTTATTAAGAGGAAATAATGACAATTATGTGTGTAGGAGTTGAGTAGTTGATTATCGCAGGGTCATAGAGATTAGATCAAAGACTATCAGTCTCTTACGAGTACGAGGTCACACATAGAATGATGCTTTAGGTTATACAGGAAACACCTTTTTGATTTACGCCGTTTTAGTTGCGGTAAATTATTAGAAAATATTACAAGTTCTTGTACAATAAATTCGATTGAGTTAATTCAGTATATTAACTTCTTATTAAATGTTGACTTTTTAAATTATTCGCAAGTTTCAGTTTTAGTCGGTTGTTTGGTAAAGCTAAATAAATAATTTTTCAATTAGCTGGTAGACGTCATCTGATTTCAATTAGATTTTGATTACCATATCGTGTAAATATGCTTCGGGTTTTAGTCCCAAACTAGGAATGGAGGTTTCAAATCATCAGTTTATAATTAACGCTTCCATATTTAGAGTATCTTGCGTCTACTTTCGGAATTAAATAAAAAATTAAAATTGTTATAACGTTCCTTATAATCTAAAATTAGGCTATGTTAAAAAAGTTTATTTATCTCTTTGGTAAGAAAAAAGCAATGCCTCTAATAAGAAATTTAGATTCTTATTTACATGTCACTAAGAAATGCAGTCTAAAATACGGAGAAATAAATAATAAAGTATGAATTTCAAAAAGTTGGGATCTGAGGGAAACCTTAATGCTGAATTGATGCAAATTTACGGAATCATTTAAGCTAAAAATCAAACGTAAATCTGAGGAACCGTTCGAGGTAAAATTATGGTGAATCGAAGAAATCTTTTGTGGTAATATATGTATATCGAAGATAGCATTCAAGGTGAAATGAATAAGATTCGAACGAAGCATTCGAAGTAAAGCTCAAATTGGTATTCAGTTAATTTAGAAACATTTTTCCTATGGAAAATGCTGTCTCCAAACCAGAAGAAGCTCTGATCTAATTAGTATGAACTAATTATGTTCCTAATATTGTTCTCAATTATGTTAGTAATATTCTTCTCAGCAACAAGACTCTCTTATCTTGAATTTATCTCTAAGTATGGCGTAGTAGATTGTGAAGGATCGCCTGTAGTTTCTTTATGACCTCTGCATTAGTTATTGTTTGGTCCTGATCGTTGGGACACTCACAGTCACACACATCCCCACCATGTAAGCTCACACTACCACCGAATAGACTATTGAAATTATACATATTTTTTATTATATTAGATTATATTTACCTAAATTTCAAGAAATTTTTTATCCAAGCTCTGAAGAATAATTGTAGAATTATATCGTGCAATATCTGAACAAGAAACACTCGAGAAGAGTCATTAATCGAATTCTAACATTCCAATTTATTCGCAATTTTAAGAAAAATAAAAGTCGAATAAATTGTTTGTTTGCTACTCCATCATAAGAGGTAAAAGATTTATTCATAACCCTAACAAAATTCGGGTTCCTCCTAGGCTTCTGCTCTAGAGTCACTACACTCAGTTTAAAGTTATATTTGGTCTGCCTGGCCACTCGATCGAAATCAGTTGCGGTCAGAATCTCCATTTCGACTTAATAGGCGCCTGAGAGTGTAAGAAAGTATGGGAGAGTCAAGTCTCGCCGCGCGTGCGAGATGCCCAGAGGATTTTATTCAAACATTGAGCGAAGAGAAAATTGAACGAAGAGAAAATTGAACAGAACAGAATCTCTAACAAAAATCGGAGCCGCCCAGTCTTCGGCCGAATAGTCGCTACGCTGGGCGTAAATTTATTCTGGGTATGCTTCGCCACCCTGTATAAGGTCTGCTTGGCCACCATCTGGTCTAAATCTTCTTTTCGACTTTTTAGTCGCCTGAGAGTATGACAAGAGTTGGCCGATCCGAGTCATACCGAGCTCGCAAGCTGTTCAGAGGCTGCCGACGTGGAAATAGAGAAGCCGATGAAGCCCATATTCCTATAGGCGGCACCTAATGCAGAATCAGCAAGCATCTAAATTTTGTTAGGGGTCTGACCCGTATCTGAAATTTGTTAGGGAATACGATAAGGCCGTATCTTCTTAATCCTTCTTTCATTGCTGAAGGATTACTTAACTATTGTCGTTTTATTTCATCAAATTTTTAATAAAAATTCAATTTCAGAGATCCATACAAGGGCATGAATAGGACAAATCTGAATGGTATCAGTGATAAAAACAAGAATGGCTAACTGGCGCATGCCTCTCCGATGGTGCATTTGGCTTCTGCTAGTTGTCCTTCGGCCCAACCATGGTGAGTAATGGATGGGTTTCGGATCTATATCGATATTTTAACTAGTTTGTTTTTATGTTTGATGAAACTAAAATGAAAGCTTGGCACCACAAATGCAATCTTCTATTCTTTGCTTCTCTGCCGAGGAGTTCAGTAGTGTCCTGTACATAAAGGAGTTCATAAAGTGCCCTGTACGCCAACATAATCATATGTATATTATCTGGTTCAATAAACATTTTCCTTTTAAATTAATATTTGTGGATTACCCTAATTAAGGGATTACCCTGAGCAGCGCTAGGGTAATCTGTAAATGCTGTACAAATAAGTCTGTTGGGATAATTATTTCTTTCTAATTAACTCAAAATTGCGTGAGTGAAATACACAAGTAAAGTAGATGTTTGACTTTCATTAGTAGGATTAGTAACGTTCACAGTTGGAAAGTAGAGCGTCTTGAACATCAACGAATAAAGCAGGAGCATACAGGACAGAAAAATTTATAGGTGTGTTCGAACATTATTAATATTAAATAAACTGTATAAAATACTAGCAGGTTAGCCTATTGAAATTGTTCGCTCAGAAGCTGCAGGCTCCTGCGTCGGTCGCGACTACGGCTTCGGCAGCATCGTGTGCGTGGACACGATCGAACACTGCGGCTTGCCCGGCGTGTTGCCCGCTATGGCCAGTAACCAACTACTCATGGTCACGTCTGACAAGGCGGGACTGCGGTGGCAAGAAACCTACTACCAGTGGAAGACTTTTCGTGGTGAGAACAAGATATATTCGGCAATTCTGTCCACGAGGGGATTTAATTGACTGAAAGACATCGTTCCAGATGAAGTTACAAAGATGGGCTGGGTGGCCCAGTGGTTACAATTCAAAGTACCAAGATCGCAGCAGTGAGTTTTGGGTTTGATCAGAGCTACCTGCGACAGTTCTGGTCAAAATCGGCGAGATGGCCGGGCGGTCCATCACAGAGAAATTTAAGCACTGAGTTGCGTGTTCGAGACCCGCAACAAGCTGAGAAATTTCTGCGATGTTCAGAATCATCGGCAGATCGAATGGCCTAATTAAAGCTGACACGGACATTACCATTACAACGATAATAAAACTATTAAGTAATGATAGATCTCGATTGCCAGGAGATTTTTGGACAGCGCCAAATTGACCTTAGGCTCGATTGAAGAAGTGTTTGTGTACTTTTTTAATGAAATGATTCGTTTGTTTTTGTTCTCAAATATTAATATCACAACAATAAAATTAACAGTAACATTGTAAAATTTTATATAATGCATATAGATAGTTTGTGCTAACTTATTGGACGTTAATTTAACTAATAATTTACGCAAAGAAACGGAGATGACTATTGTTGTCCTTATATCTTCAGCAGAGGAGTCGGTTGAGACGAGAGCAGAGTCGGTAAAGCTAGGCAGTCACACAGCTTCGGTTCAAGCTCTACCAGCTACACTGAAAGCCGACAAAGGATCTTCTCGTACTAAATCAGCAAGCGAGAGTGCTGATGTGATGCCGTCAGTACCTAAATCAGCAAGAGAGAGTGCTTATGCGATACCAACAGTACCTGCATCAGCAAGAGAGAGTCCTAATGTGATCCAATCGGTACCTGCATCAGCAAGCGAGAGTGCTGATGTGATACCATCGGTACCTAAATCAGCAAGAGAGAGTGCTGATGTGATACCATCAGTACCTAAATCAGCAAGAGAGAGTGCTGATGTGATGCCGTCAGGAGCTAAATCAGCAGCTGAGAGAGGTGATACTGTACTGTCTCATGACAATTTGGCCTCAATGAGTAGCAAATCCAGGATATCAATAACGGAGCTGGAAAAATCGAAGAACCTGTCAGCATCAGCTCGAGTTGAGTCAGCCAACGAGAATGCTGACTTGGAAACTCGCCTATCTGATTCAACAAAGTTAAATGATGATCCGAAACTATATCAACCTGACTTGCCGTTAAAAGAAGCTTTGGTCGTATCATCTCAAAGTGAAGCAGAAAAGTTAAGCGTGGATTCAGTCCCATATTCAATCGAGTCGGCAAAAATAATCACATACGCGGGAACATCCCAAAAAGACTTAGTGTCAGCAGCGGCTGAGTTAACACGAGGAAGCTCTGACTCAGGACCATCTCTAGCTGACACACCAGCTTCAACGGCGGAGTCAACACGAGTAGTAGCTGAGCCAGCCCCAGAAGTTACTCTGACATTGGATAGGTCTGAGCGTTACCAAACAATCGCTGGTTTTGGAGGCGCGTTCACGGATGCTGCAGCGCTTAACATCCTTACCTTGCCGCGGCCACTGCAAGACTGCATAGTCAGGTCAGAAATTGGTCATTATTTGTTCTTAATTGTTACCAGGAAGTATGAAAATGTTCAACCTTCGAATATGAAACCATATCGTTTCACATTCTCAAATTTTTTCTCATAGCCCATAATTTATACTAAATCTGTTGCAATTAAGCCTTCAATTCTTTTCCTGACGTTGCTTCGAATGCCATGCGTTTTTCCTGTTTCTCACTTAATTAATACATACGGAAATTTATCGGATATGAGTGTGGCCTCCAAAGCTACTGTTAAAACCGATATCACTTACCTTACTACGAAATGGCAATATTTATCACTGAGTTCAATATGCAATTTTTATCCGAAGTCTTGTCGCCGTCCTAAGTAGCTCTGAAGGGTTTCAGTATGACTCAGGTCTAACTTCGGCCTTGAACGGCTGCAATTTAATTTAGGTCCTGCTTCAGACCTAGAGAGCTCAAGTTCGCCTCAAGTCCAACTTCGTTCAAAGGCCTTCGTTTCTGAATTTCGTTTACAGTTCGTACTTCAGCCCTGAAGGTCTTCAGTATTCCATGGGCCGCGTTCCTATCGGAGGAGCAGACTTCAGCGTGCGAGCTTACACCTACGACGACCTGGACGAAGGGCAGACAGATGAGGACCTCAAGCACTTCACCCTCCAGAGGGAGGACATCCAGATGAAGGTGAGCAAGCACTTCACCCTCCAGAGGGAGGACATCCAGATGAAGGTGAGCTAGCACTTCACCCTCCAGAGGGAGGACATCCAGATGATGGTGAGCTAACACTTCACTCTCCAGAGGGAGGACATCCAGATGATGGTGAGCTAACACTTCACTCTCCAGAGGGAGGACATCCAGATGAAAGTGAACTAGCACTTCACCCTCCAGAGGGAAGACCTCAGGAGAGGGTGTGGCGGACCTCATCCTCTAAAGATAAAGAATTTCTAGAAATATAGTTCAAGGAATTATTGGTTCCGTTCGCATGCAGATGTTGAACACTTTTACCTCAACTGAACGTCAAAACGACGACATCTAAAATAGGTTTCACTGACAATCTGATAGATGTAGCTTGTGCACCTTGTAATTCAAACATTTGAAAGAATAATTTCCTGACGAAGAAACGTACGTTTGATTTGATCTCATTTTTATCGTTCACATCTAAATTCCGAAACGAAGATTACGAAAAGTAATCAGGTTGCTTTGTTCCAACAATCAAAATTTCAAGCTTGAGTTAACCGCATTACAATCATTACATTACAAAACATATAATTTTACTTGACATTTTATGTAATTTGTTCATGCAGATCCCGCTGATCCAAGCAGCGTCTCGTGTACGTGGTTCGTCTGGTCCTCTGAAGCTCGTGGCGTCCGCGTGGTCAGCCCCGGTGTGGATGAAGACTGGACCGAGTCTGGATGGCAAAGGGAAATTGCAGAGGCAATACTGGGCTGTCTGGGCTCAGTATATCCTTAAGTGCGTTTATATGAAGCCTCTGTACTGCGGCCTTATTTCAGCAATACTAATAGCGTTGATTAGGCCATTAGACCTGTCGCTGATTCTATACATATTTCAGCTTATAACTTTATTTCAGCAACACTAATAGCGTGGATTAGGCCAGTAGACCTGTCGCTGATTCTAAACATATTTCAGCTTATAACTTTATTTCAGCAACACTAATAGTGTGGATTAGGCCAGCATATAGACCCGTCGCTGATTCTGTACATCGCAGAATTTTAATTTTTTTTTGCTGGTCTCGCAAATGCAATTTATGCTCCAATTTTGCCGTGATTTACCGCCCGGCCACATTGCTTATTTTGACCAGAACTGTCCCAGTGAGCTGGGTTCGAGCCAACAACTCCCTGCTCGAATTCATGTTATACTTTGAACTGTAGCAGTGAGCCATCTTACCCACTCGTTTGAACTTAAATAATGTTATTTTATGAAGGGTACTCCAAAAATAGGTGATTTCTCGAATACTTAATAAGATAATCCGGTTGGTTTAGGAAGTAATTGCTGCATATCCAGTAGCAGTTACTTTAAAGTAATGTGGTCTGATAGAAAACATAGATCATTTGAGAATTGACATGGATAAATACTTTATTTTTGTGGTTTTATATCTTGACGTGGTGTTTATTTAGTGGCAATAAAAATACGCCTCAAATTCTGTAGGAATTATTTATGGGATCAGAATACTGTAACTGGAATATTCTGAGGTGATCTTAGTTAAGAAAACTTTTATCTCGTGGCTTCGCTTGCATTCGTTTTTGTTCACTTAAAAGTTTCCTTTAGTTTGTTTTCGGTTGTACAAAATGGTACCAACTAAAATAAGAGGTAAAAGATTTTTGCTCATTCTACTTCATACTACGTAAGCTAGAGCATTAAGAAACAAATAAATATTATTCATTTCATGAAGATTATATGACGTGAGTACGATATTGTTCGTGATATTGTGCCAATTGATCCAGCAGAATGCTACAGCACTAATTTTAAATATAAAATATTCAATTTTGGTAAAAATAGTTCTTATGAGCACAGAAAAAGCCAATCATAAAGACCACTTTAAAATTATATTGATTCGAACATATTATCCTGATTCGAAACAAATTCAATCGAAACAAATTCAATACCAACCTTCTACATGGCTTTTTGTTGCTGCGAAATTTCATAGTGAAACTTCGCAGTATTCGAGGTAAAAATCTTAAATTATTGATAATAAACTTAATATTAAGATTTCGTTCGTGTTCCAGGTTTCTGAAGGAGTACCGGAAGCGCGGTGTGGAATTCTGGGCAGTGACGGCGCAGAACGAACCTACGGACGGTCTTATCACAGACTTTCCTATTAACGCCATGGGGTGGACAGCTCTAGAACAGGCAAGATAAGCTCTAGAACAGGCAAGATAAGCTCTAGAACAGGCAAGATAAGCTGTAGAACAGGCAAGATAAGCTCTAGAACATGCAAGATAAGCAGCTCTAGAACAGACAAGATAAGCTCTAGAACAGGCGAGATAAGCTCTAGAACAGGCGAGATATGCTCTAGAACAGGCGAGATAAGCTCTAGAACAGGCTAGATAAGCTCTAGAATAGGCAAGATAAGCTCTAGAACAGGTAAGATACGCTCTTGAACAGGCAAGATAAGCTCTAGAACAGGTAAGATACGCTCTTGAACAGGCAAGATTAGCTCTAGAACAGGCAAGATAAGCTCTTGAACAGGTAAGATAAGCTCTAAGACAGGCAACAAATCCTACAGTAAGAAAACTGTTATGGACGAAATATGTCATTGTTTCTGTGTAGAAGACACGACGAGACAAAAAAAATTGCCAGAGCATGTAACAATTCTTCCATTTTAATAAAAATGGCTACGTTTATCATCGCTTATGATGAGCGAAATATTTGTTATAATTTCTTGCACAGATACGGTGGGACAAAACGTTTCAAAACAAGCGATGGGTTAAACATTTTTTCTTTATTTTAAAGTGTATTAGATCTTTCATTAATAAAAAGTATATTATGGTCCCCGTTGTAATAAATGCAATGGGACGGGTGGCTCTGGATCTCGCAAACATTTTCCCAACTGATGAAGATAGGAATGAAAATAGTTCGAAGAGTTTTGTATATTTTTTCTTTCTGCCATTAATATTCTTTTACTTTAGTTCTCTCTTCCATTCGAGTATCTCTAGAGATCATTCTATACTAGACTTCATACAAATCTATATATCAGATTATGTATGCTACGAAAAATCTCAAATTCGTTGTTCCCTGTACTGGCGACAGGCCGAGTGGGTGGGCCACTTCTTAGGTCCCACTCTCGAGGCCGAAGGCTTCAACGACACCAAAATTTTTGTATTGGACGACAACAGGATCGCCTTGCCGCACTGGATGGACGTTGTGCGTATCATGGGGGGGGGAAACAATGAGTTAAATTATGCATAAAAGAAGAGGTTGTATGAAGTCTAGTAGTCTAACTAAAGCAATATTAATTCTTCTATATGTAAAATTCGCTTGTTATCGGGTTCATTCAAGCTAAACGTACTTGAGTTTGATGCATTTCCGTCCAATATTTATTTAATGCATGTATATTATCTACTCATTTGCCTGATAAATAACTATCCTCTCACATACTCGTGTTCAATATAATATTGTTCTCTATTAATATGCATAGGGCTGCAGAGAAGTTCACTTTAAATAACAGCTATCACATACTCGCATGCATGACATAAAGTTATATTTATATAAGATGATGATATATAAATTTAATGTGCAGATGGCTGCTGACAATTTAACCGCTCGGTTCGTGTCGGGCGCGGCAGTTCACTGGTACGTAGACTTCCTTGTGCCGGCCTCCGTTTTGGATGAAACAAACAGCCGCTACCCGCACTGGCCTATTCTCTACACTGAGGCTTGCACAGGTCAAATCCTAGTATAAAATATTATTCTTTATTATTCTTAATATTCGGCAAACCATTACCAGTCAGTATTTTGCCTCAGCATTAGTTGAAATGTAATTCAGGTTGTATTCAGACTCAGTTTTTAATAATTTTTTGCGATTGATGCAAATTCGGTTTAAACTAAATGAGAAGTACACACTTTTGTATTCGAGGTCACACTTAAAACTAATTTTACCTATAATACGCGCATGCAATAGTTTATTGTATCATATCTACGCATGGTACACGTTCGGTGCCAGGGATTTATCGATCCACAAAAATGAAGGACATACAGTTCCTGTATTTTATGTTTTTTTGGATCACGTATTGAAAATATAAATGTTGATATTAGTAATAATAAATTTAACAAACAATATCAACAATAATAGCAATATTAATTTAATATTATTATTATTATTATTAGTATTTATTATTAATATTAAATATTAATATAAATTTTAATGTTACTGTTAATTTAATATTATTATTGATTGAATAATAATATTATTTTATTTTTTAAAAAAACACAAATAATAAAAGATTAGTTTAAATGCGCAGGTCAGTGGCCGTGGCAGCCGCTGAAGGTGGTCCTCGGTAGCTGGCAGCGAGCGCAGTATTACATAGACGACGTTATTGATGTCAGTCTAACTGTTATCAGTCAGTAACTTGGGCTTAATTGTTAATTATAAATGAAGAGCATTTATTTGTAAATAATTAAATTTTCTTCAATCTTGGTAGTAGGTTTCTGTAAGCAATTAATCTTGCCATAAATCAAATGTAAGAAATGATCGAAATAAGTAACGATGAAATCGTACACACAATGATAAATCAATCTAAATGGGATTCTGAAATAAAGGCAGAAAATAATATGATAATACTAAACGTCGCGTTATTTTAATAAGCAATAAATATATATTAATAACTATATACACTAAAAAAGAAATGAAATTGTTATTTATGAAGATGAACTCTTATTGCTGCCTGACGGCGAATTTTGTAACAATTATAACAGTAATTTTTTCCATTATTGTTGAGTGAGTTGATCAATATTGAACACAATGCAGACTCTGAACCACTGGGCGGTGGGCTGGATAGACTGGAACTTGGCGCTGGACACAAAGGGAGGACCGAACTGGGCTAAGAACTTCGTGGACGCGCCTGTCATCGTCAATGCGGTGAAGTTGATACAATTTCAAATCTTGTGTAATTATTTTGAATGTCCATAAATCAATTCAATTTTTAAATTTCGTATTTGTCATCAAATTTTTATTTATTTTATCAAAGATGTAGCAAAGAATATACGAAGTATAAAATATTTATGACCAATTTTAGAATTTCTCTTTTACATGGTAAAGACAGTAGTGCTAGTCTTATTCTTTTTGATGATAAGACTAGTACAGAATATAGAAAATTTAATTACAATGAGAACCAACTATCAAAAAATGTACGAAAGTGAGAAAACGTCGAAAAAATAACATCGTTGATACATAAATTTTTTCGACTACCTCTTTCACCGCTCCACTGCTGTAATTTGAAGCCCTGATTTGTTGGAAAAAACGAGAACAAAGTTTTTTCTCTTCATTTTGGCTATGACAATATAAAAGAAATTGGACCATGTAAATTATTCATTGCGAGGTGGTTAATAGTAACTATTCAAGATAAATCGAAGTAATCAGGATGACGTTCTTGTCCACTCAGTAAATCAACATTGAATAATTTTTTCTTCTGTACTACGCATTCTATTAATAAATATTATGCAAATAAATGGGAGAAATAATATTTCGGTTCTGTGCAGGGTGTTCAGGAAGTGTACAAGCAGCCCCTGTACTACGCCATGGGCCACGTAACAAAGTTTGTACAGGAAGGCAGTGTGAGGATCGGCCTTCAGTACACCGCGGGGACAAGCGAAGCTACCAGAGCTACGGAGCTACCGAACACACTGCGCGCGACTGCCTTCCTGAGACCCGATAACTGTACGACTATTGTACTTGTCAACAAGTGAGTACTATTTGGCAGATTATAATTGTACAATTGATGTACTGTGCGACTATTGTTCTTGTTAACAAGTGAGTGCTGCTTGACAGATTATAATTGTACAATTGATGTACTGTACAACTATTGTACTTGTCAACAAGTGAGTGCCATTTGACAGATTATGGTTGTATAATTGATGTACTGTACGACTATTGTACTTGTTAACAAGTGAGTACTATTTGGCATATTATAATTGTATAATTGATGTACTGTACGACTATTGTACTTGTCAACAAGTGAGTACTATTTGGCATATAATAATTGTACAGTTGATGTACTGTACTACTATTGTACTTGTTAACAAGTGAGTACTAATTGGCATATTATAATTGTATAATTGATGCACTGTAAGTCTGTACGACTATTGTGGTCGTCAACAAGTGAGTACTACTTGGCACATGAAATTTGTATATATGACGTACATAACAGGCATATAGGTGTTAGAAATGTTGTACAGCCTAACGAAAGAAGTGAGTATAACAGCTAAGACGAGCTGAGTGAGTTAGTGACTAGGGTGAGTCATTGCGAATATCATTACCAAATAGAAGGCCTGCTGAAAAAATATTGTCATGTATCATTCTGCTGCTGTGTCGAATTTCTTTTTGATATTGAGGAATTGCAAATGTAAATATATTAATATACCGACCGGTGCGAGACGGTGCGACAGAACAATAAATTACAACCTGCATTTATCGTAAAAAGCAATAATTTCACATGTGCAAGAAATGATTTTGTAAGTACCTATATGCTGCTATGAAAACGACTAGCCTATACTTCCTTCAAGCTGCTCGAATGGAACTTGATATTAGGTTCTTTGCTGGTCTCCAGGTCGCTTGATATATTTTTAAGATCCTGAACCATGGTCGAAACACATATGGAAGATAGAAATTAGAAAGTAATAATAGAATTAATTCATATGTCCCTGCTGCCGCTCATGAAATGAATATTGTTCCAAAGATGTTGGTATTTATTATTGCGCTTTCGATGTCGTAATTTATTGATTATGGATTAAGATTATTTGGTTGCATTAATCGCAAATTTACCAGGAATTAAAAAGCAAAAAAAAATCGAAACTAAGAAATGGTGAACTTTTTCTCGATTTTCTTTGCTATTAAATTCCTGATGATTGATTATTTATGGATTTACATGTTCTAAGGAAACGGTCGCCGGTGCTGTTGGAGATCCGTGATGGGGAACGGAGCAGCGGAGTGCTGGAGTTGACAGCGAGTTCCTTCAACTCGTTCTTCTGGTGCTGAACTCCTGTGCCTCCTTAGGAACATTAGATCCTATCATGGAAATCTTAATGAAATTGATACGTCCGATCCCGCAAGGCAGGCTGAAAAATATATCTGGCAGGCTGAAAAATATGTTGGTGAAGAATATAAATTTATTTACTACTTTTAATACTGTTTTAATTGGATAATATGTCCGATCCCGCAAAGCAGGCTGACAAATATATTGTTGAAGAATATCGATTTATTTACTACTTTTAATACTGTTTTAATTGGAATGTGTGTTATTAGGATTATTTAATTATAAAGATTATTAGGACTACGCGCTATCCGCCCGAGTAGAAAATTAGATTGTTTAGTCTATTGGATTGTTTAGTCTATTGGATTCTCTTTTGACGGAAAATCAATTGAATACTGTGGGGTTTTGCTTTGATATGTTTTATATTATGATATTCTTACCAGAATTTGAAGAAATCTGCCATTAAATCAGCAAGATATTACTGATGTAAAATAATAATTTAATCGTTTCATATTGTCCACCTATTTATATAATTTAAATATTATATAGTAGAAATATGCTTGAATGACACTTAAAAGTATCAAATTATCGTATTTTATTTGAACCATCCGAAAATAAGTAGAACAAGAAAAGGATCGTTTATTATAAGCTGAAAAAATGATTAGATTTTCTGATAAATATTGTAGATTGTAAATTTTCCTAACTCTCACAAGAATTTAATTTAAAAAAATTGTCGAATAAATTATGATATGGTTTTAAAGAAGAAAACATGAATGCAAAGATACGGAAAATATAGCGAGCATTGTTCTGAAATTTTTTGATGATCCCAAACAATATGCATAAATTTCAATTTAAACTACCCGAAAATTTAGTTAAAGAAAAATTTTTAAATTGCGCTGTATGTACGAAACGTTTCCCCACGTGATAAAAGATTTTATTTTTCAACACTATCTACTACGAACGGCACACATTTTGCCAACTTTGTTCATGTTTATTGCAAGAGTACTGACGTAGGCGCGCAGTATCTGTGTCTCCACGCGTGCGGTATTTTACTGCTGTATTCCTCCCACAGCTGCCTGTGACCAGCGTCACTCGGCCCCCAGGAGGGCAGAGGCTGGTGGCAAGTCTTCAGTTTCTGGTCAATTTTAAAAAATTATTACGTCTTTATTAAAAGAAAATCACGAACTGATGATGGATCTGGACTCCGAAACGTTTTCTATAAAGATATGCATTTTTGTGGATTATTCTTTGCTTTTAAATTTTTAGCATATCACAATATCTTTAGGATTCTTAGGATACTTCATTGTTATACAATCATTGGAATCTGAAAGGAGTAACTCGGAGTTTGTACCTCATGACAACAAAAAAAATTAGTCTCTAATGAGTTATAATAAAAACATTGTAAGGAGTTGTATGTAGTCTTACTGCATAAATTATATATCGTATGAATGCAAGACGAATTTTTTTTATATCTAAGCAGCCATTTCATTAAATCTAGTCTATTTAAATCACTTGGACATAAAACTCTATCTTTGGAAACGCAGCCTATAGGGCAACATGGGGCAGCGCCCCCCCCCCCTTTGTTTAAACTAAATTTTTGATGACATTTTAATTGATACGAGGTGGTTCTTTGTTTTGTTTAAAGGTACAACTAATGAGGAATGTATGATGTGAATGAGACGCCTATAGAGTTATTTTTAATTAATTAAAAATTAATTAATTTTTAATGAAACCCTATTTTGAAAAAAGTGTCAAAATGGGCCCATTGCCCCACCCCTGGGGCAATGGACCCAAGGGCTTGGGGCAAGGGCCCACCCTTGGTCCCTTTGCCACAATTGCATATTTTTCGTTTAAAAATGATAAAACAACACTTTACAGTTAAAAATAAGAAATATGTAATAAAAAATATGACATTCATTCATTTATTGATAACTCAAAAAATCATATCCTTAACTTGAAATAATATACTCTTGGCTTCAAAAATCTATCACTGATGTGAATAAAAGTATTTCATTGACATAAAAACATATATCTCTGAATTGAAAAATATATCCTTGCGATAAAAAATTCGTCCTGGACATGAAAAAATGTATCCTTGACTAGAAAAAATTCACCATGGGCGCTTTGCCCCGTGACACGCATGGGCCCGTTGCCCCACTAGGTATCATTTCAATTTATATCGTGTCAACATTTTAATTTAAAGGCTAATAGTCTAAACTTGATCTCAAAATTATCCCAATAAATATTACTTTCAAAATATAATTCACAGTATTTTCAACAGCTTCATCTACAGTAATCGAAAACAGTTTTATTTGGCAGCAAAAAATTTTTATCTGGGCTAAAACAGTTATTCACAAATAACTTAATAACGCAAACACTTAGCAAAACGTAAATCCGTACACTTCATTCCGGTGAAACTGTCGACCGGCGGTAGAGAACACGTACCAATATCTGCAATACTTGCGAGAAACCCGGTATGGGCCCATGACCCGCAGAGGGCTCGCTGCCCCATGTTACCTATCACTAAAACGAAGTCTCTGTCCTTAGAACGTATGTCTGAATAATTTAAACGAAAGCCTTAAAAAATCAGGGTCCACTCTGGCACGAAAGTCTTCTATCTTAAAACCAAAGCCTACATCCCGGAAGCAAAATTCTCTGTCCCAGATAAAAATGTTTCTGTTCCAGAAAAGAATGTTTTCATCCTGCAATCGAGAGTACAATATACGAAGGTATCTCCACAAGGCATCTCCCAAAAAATCTTTGATGATGACCGGCTTTTCTTCTGATTATCTTTGAAAAATTATGATAAAAGGGGAAGCATTGGGACTAAATTTACTTGAAAGAAGAAACATTCGCGACCCCACGGGAAATGCTAGTGTAGTTTCCGACCAATCGTTTACCCTTGTAAAATTGATTTATTAACAATAAAATTAAACCCTAAGGTACCTGTTATTGGCGTTATCACCTGAATAAAGGATCCCTCGGCAGTGGCGAGGCAGTAGACCCAGTGACCAGGGATGAGCAGGATAGGCACCAGAGTTACTATTTGACATCCTAGCTGGAAATCATCAGGGAATTGGTAGTCCCCGTAGCCGAGCTCACCGCGCTCGAAGAAGATCATGAAGAATAACAGAGCCTGAAATATTGAGATATTTTTTAAGAAATAAATGTGGACAGAGTATTCAAAAAAGTTATAAATTGAAATTTTAATTTCATTCAATTGAATTAAAAGTTAGGAATTGTTAAAGCGTGATCAGCATCATCTTCGAAAAAAATAAATCGTATTGAATATAGATTGATAATGACCTCATATTTAATTGCTCTTGAAAAGAAAATTATCTACCGACCAACAAATAAAAGACGTGTGTTTGTCAGATTAGTTTTTAGATGTCATTTACACTGAGTAGCAAGGGGCATGAAAATAACCAGTTGAAGATCCAGAAATAACTGAGCTTCTCGCCCGTCATTGTTTGAATGTCTCGAGCCAGTCGCCCTGGACCTGTGGAAACAGGAACATTTCATTTCCACAACGTGGAATTTATGAAGGCAATAAATTGATATTTGCGGCTTTTACATTTGTTTTTCATGGTCCAGAAACTAATTATTTTACTAAAGGGAAAACTATGAAACTATAAGGTAAACACGTAAGCGTCTTGTAACATTTTTTAATTGCAAAACTGGATTATTTTTCAAGTTCCTGGCTTAGAATTAATCAATCAAGTGCTAAATTTATATGAATGTTTGATGGATTACTGGTAATATTTCTACTAGATATAGTAGTCCGCATTATTGTCCTTATTTATTGTGCATTGACTACTGATTGCTATTAAAGATTGTGACCGTAGAGGTAAGCGAAGACAATCATCTCCCCGATCGCCACGCAGATCACGCCGAACGTGATGATGTAGCCGTCGATGAGAGTCAGGTAGTAAATGCCAGCCTGTTGAATGAGAGTAAATTCATCATGAATGGTAGTGTGGTTATTACCGCAACGAGACCGTTCATCGTGAATGGTAGTGTGGTAATTACCGCAACGAGACCGTTCATCGTGAATGGTTTGATAATGATTTCAAGAAGCAGGGTAGCATGAAGATAATTAACCATGCAAAAAATAACAAATATATCCTGGTGCACATGAGCAGACTCACCCTGGTGCACATGAGCAGACTCACCCTGGTGCACATGAGTAGACTCACCCTGGTGCACATGAGCAGACTCACCCTGGTGCACATGAGCAGACTCATGCTGTAGATGAAACAGCACACGATGAAGCTGTTGAATATCTTGTGTTTTCGTAGTCTTGGAAAAACGTCTTGCAGCGTCACAACAATAGTTTCCACCTGCACGAACTATCAGGAGCGACTACATTTATTTAACCTCGTTGATATAATATCTTTATATTCTCATAGGAACTGTGAAAAATAAATATAATAACTTATTTCAAGAATAATTTCAGAGTGAGTCTTCTGAATTTAGTAATTATAAATTCATTATTCAACAGCTCAGACGTTGAATGGACGACTTTGCGGTGATCGCATGTGAAACTGAAGTGCAACTTTGACATGGTTAACCCTAGAGTTACCGTCTCCATAGCATATAAACAATTCCAAGTAGTAATATATTTATGCTTTTAACTTTGATGTGCAGCAATTACTATGATGCTAAGATTTAACTGTAAATGAATCGGATCAAAATGACAAAAAGAATAATATGTACCAAGTTTTTAATGAGTGATATTGCTCTTAACAATGATGATGCCATTCTAATTAATAGACTGTCAAACTATCTTTATCGTTAAGGCATAGTCATACTTAGCAATTGTTTATTGATGGAAATGGTGTTTACTCACACATGAATCGATGCCCAGTAAGAAGATCATGAAGAAGAAAGCTATGGACCAGAAATGAGATCCCGGCATCGCTGCGATGGCTTCAGGGTAGGTAATGAAAGCCAAGTCGATACCTAAGGATAGTCAGGCAACTTAAGCGCTAGTCGGATTACAAACGGCTAAGGAATAATCTGCTTTGCAGTTTGCATGACACGTTTTGTAGGAAAATTATGCTTTAGTTTAAAAAACGAGTGTCGTGATAAGGATTCTAAAAAAATAAGATGACCTATAAATCCAATGTTTAATTTATTTATGTTCTTGCCCGTTTTTGCCTGTGAAAATAATGTAATGCTGCAAAAAAAGCAAATGAATACCTATATGTAGTTTTGTGTCATGCTGTGGTGACGATCGACTCGAATAAAAAAAGTAAGCAAGTGTAGATTTCATTGATTGGCAGTTCCAATTATTGTAAGTCTATTTTTTTTAGGTTACCAAAAACAATAAATAAATGGAAGCACCGAAAATATACTAGAAGAAAATATGATTACAAGTTACTCAAAAAATCAATTCACAAGTTATATACTCGAAAGTGACAAAGGGCTTTAATATTTCACCGAGACTATTCAAGCAGTTAAAAAATTGTACAATTGGAAGAAAGTGGACGAACTGAAATATACTTTTGGATTTTTAGATGACTCAAAACGATTAAATGCTTGAAAAGTCATTCTTGAAGAGTCTAACGTACCCCCCAGAGCGAGATGGGCCACGGGTTTCCCGACGTTCTGCGCCATGAAGCCGAGCACGGAGAAGACCACGAGCCCCGACACGAAGGACGTGAAGGCGTTCACTAGAGGCACCATGACAGCGTCGTGTACGGTGTTGTTGTGGAACCTGGACACGGTGATGTGTCAAACTCTGTCTTGCTTGCATTAACTATTCAATGTAATGTGAATATAATTTATATGAAAAAGAGAAAATGCAAAACAACTAATGTACATTTTTCCTATTTTTAATAAGGATTTAAGTTAACTTTTTTAAACTGAACTTCATGCACTTAACATGAGGAGTTTGAAGAAAAATATAAGATTATCGAAATTTTCATAGATCAAAATTGCCCCTGAATTCCGTTTGTAACCCGCGGTAAAGAAAATTTATCGGAAGTTCAAATCAGCGTTTTTATAATATCATACCGCATCTACGATGAAAAATTCTCATGTATCTCACCTGCTGAAAGAACCGAGGCAGTGTAAGGTGCCCCAGCCTGCACCGAGGGAGAAGAAACCCTGCACCGCCGCGTCCGACCACACCTACAACCGAAAATGTCAAGTTGTGGTTTACAACAGAAAGTGTTACAAAACCAAAAGCGGTTTGCAACTAAAAGTACAGTTGTGGTTTACAACCGAAAAAAGTTGAACAACCAAAAGCGGTTTGCAAATAAAAGTACAGTTGTGGTTTACAACCGAAAGTGTTGAACAACCAAAAGCGGTTTGCAACTATAAGTACAGTTGTGCTTTACAACCGAAAGTGTTGAACAACCAAAAGCGGTTTGCAATCGAAAGTACAGTTGTGGTTTACAACCGAAAGTGTTGAACAACCAAAAGCGGTTTGCAACTAAAAGCACAGTTATGGTTCACAACCGAAAGTGTTGAACAACCAAAAGCGATTTACAACTGATAGTACAGTTGTGGTTTACAACGGAAAATGTTGCACAACCAAAAGCGGTTTGCAACTAAAAGTACAGTTGTGGCATACAACCGAAAGTGTTACACAACCAAAAGCGGTTTGCAACTATAAGTACAGTTGTGGCTTACAACAGAAATGTTTTACAACCAAAAGTGATTTGCAAATAAAAGTACAGTTGTGGTTTACAACCGAAAGTGCTTAACAACCCGAAGCGGTTTGCAACTAAAAGTACAGTGTGGCTTACAACCGAAAGTGTTGAACAACCAAAAGCGGTTTGCAACTAAAAGAACAGTTGTGGTTTACAACAGAAATGTTTTACAACCAAAAGTGATTTGCAAATAAAAGTACAGTTGTGGTTTACAACCGAAAATGCTTAACAACCCGAAGCGGTTTGCAACTAAACGAACAGTTGTGGTTTACAACCGAAAGTGTTGAACAACCAAAAGGGGTTTGCAACTAAAAGTACAGCTGTGGTTTACAACCGAAAATGTTTTACAACCAAAAGCGGTTTACAACTGATAGTACAGTTGTGGTTTACAACCGAAAGTGTTGAACAACCAAAAGCAGTTTGCAACTAAAAGTACAGCTGTGGTTTACAACGGCGGTTTGCAACTAAAACTAAAGTTGTGGTTCGCAACCGAAAGTGTTTCAAACCCAAAAGCCGTTCTATACATAAGCCAACTGAATTCTCTATGTCGGGGATAATTCTCATGGTAAATTTTTTAGTACAAATTTCTTCAGCATAAAAATATAAAAAATATTTGCCCCCACGATATTCTTACTCCAATTGATAGAGGTTTGGATAAGTCAAAGTGAAATTACAAACTTTATTGCTTCTGCGACATTTTTATCCTGAAGGATAGAAGTTTGGAGAATTCGGGGTAAAATTACTGACCTTTATTGCTTTTAAGATTTTCTTACCCTGACTGATAGAAGAAGGAGAAGTCAGGGTAATTTTTTTTAAGATTTTCTTACCCTGACTGATAGAAGCTTGGAGAAGTCAGGGTAGAGGTAGAGTTCGATGCCTTTGGAAGCTCCTGGCAGGGTGAGGCCGCGTACGAGCAGCACAAACAGAACAAAGAAAGGGAAGATTGCGGTGAACCACACCACCTGTTTGTGTAATCAAAGAGTTAGGATCATTTGAATTCCAGTGTTATTCAAATATAATCATGAATGATCAATAACATTTTATAGTATTTAGTTCGAATTTTTTATTAAAACATTTTATTAGAGAATATTGTGTTTTTGCATATTTTGTCACAGTCGTCCTAGTCACGGCTCTAAAATGAAAATATTAAATTTAAAAAAATCTGGATTTCTTACTCTGACTCGTGTAACTATTCATGAAACTATTGTAACTAATCATGTAACTATTTACCCATGTAACGAACACTTGTCACAGCGATAGTTATTGTGATATTTTATATAGCGTAGTTTGTTTCTACCTTGCCGAGGACTTTAACGCCTTTGAAGATGGCGAGAAACACGACGACCCACACGATGAGGTTGGCCAGCGCTAGCCCCGGCACGACGCCCCCCAGGTATCTGATGTCCGTGGAGATCCGCAAAACTTCATTTCTGCGGAATGCAATTCAGGAGGTCACAATTCTTAAAAAAATTCGTTTTACTTCTTGATTCTGAAATATTCTGATAATTGGTCAATATAATTCGTAGGTTATTTTTCCTGCAATATCGCCATTTATTTTTTTCACTGCGTGTTAAAATGTAATATTGATTTAGTGTGTGATAATTTAGAGGCAATGAGTTTCCATTGAAGTTTATGTTCCATTACTAACTTTATTGGTCGCTCAAGCTGCTAATTTTTGTCTTTTATTTTAAATAGGCATTAAATCGAGATGAAAATACAATGTACTAACAGGAAGAATTCAACGCTAGACTCGACGTAGGGTTGTTCCTCAGATGAGTCGTCGTACGCAGGCATGGTTATGTTGCCGCTGGCGTAGAGTTCCTGAAGTTCTTCCTGAAAAAATCCCAGACCGGGCTTAAAGATTCAAAATTATTCCAGACTATCGTTTCTATTTTAGACCGAATAAATACAAAATGAATTTATGATGTACGCAAAATAATATGGAGATTATTCAGTTATGATTTTAAGTTCAGAACTTCCGCGACAGCACTTCCAAAGAACTTCTTTGAGAAATTGAACTGGTGAACGACTGAACTTCTAAGTAACTTTTTTAAGAAACACTTCCGCGACAACTTAGATTCATTTTAAATGCCATAACTCTCTCCTGATTAGTTGTAAAAATATTGCGCCGCAATGAGACAAGATTTTGTACCCTAGGAATTAAAAGTTAGACAGTTTACTATCCGAAATAGCTATGAAAAAACGGTCTTACCGACATTATAGTGGCCTGTCGCCCTAAAAAATAAACCATATCGCAGTTTTTTTCATATATGATACCGGTTTCTTTCGTTAAATTGAAAAAACGGCGACACCGTGTTTTTTTTCACGTGCCGGCTCTTCACAGAAATGCCGGTCAGACAATTTTACGGTATTTTTTCGAACAGTTTTTGAACTTTTCTTCACCTACAGTATAGTTAGGGAAATTAACTTACCGCGGTGTGGCAAGACTCGGTGTTCCAGTAGTTACGGCATGTGTTCCAGGGCAGAGTGTCCGAGGTGAAGGTATGCCAGAGGAATATTAAAGGGTATGCGATCAGCACGCAGTAGTAGGACGTGGCAATGGTTGCTATCACCACAGCGGTCAGCGCCACTCCTAATTGTGTGTTAGAATAAGTAAGCTTCGGTGCCATAGAAGTTCACATTTAAGTGAGCAGATTAGCTGAACTTATATCTGAATACACGTAAACATTTTGGGAAATATTCGGGAAATATATCCCGCGACGCATTTCTCTGGATGAAACCTAGATTCTTCTTTCACATTTTATTTCAAAATTGTATCTTTCTACAACTGTAATACGGTAACGACGACACGATGTACGTCATATGCTTACATTTTATTTGGTACAATCAGTGTACGAAATAAGATTTTTGAATAACTATTATTTCAGTATATCTTATTTCTCTTATACTGCAGACATCAGGACTTGTTCAGTTGTTCACCTCTGAACGCAGGACACAAGTCGAGAAGCTTGACGAACGACGAGGAGCTGAACTGCCCCACCGACGTCTCCAGGAGGAACAGCGGGATGTTCACCAGCACCATCATCACCGTGTACGGGATCAGGAACACTCCTGATAACAACCATCATCACCGTGTACGGGATCAGGAACACTCCTGATAACAACCATCATCACCGTGTACGGGATCAGGAACACTCCTGATAACAACCATCATCACCGTGTACGGGATCAGGAACACTCCTGATAACAACCATCATCACCGTGTACGGGATCAGGAACACTCCTGATAACAACCATCATCACCGTGTACGGGATCAGGAACACTCCTGATAACAACCATCATCACCGTGTACGGGAGCAGGAACACTCCTGATAACAACCATCATCACTGTGTATGGGAACATAAGCTCTTTCCTCCACAAACCCTTAATTAACGCAGCTCAGACACTGTCCTTCTCATTAACTTAGTTCAGACACTGTTCACCCCGTTAAGACATCAAAGATACTGTTCTCCATATTATCTTAGCTCAGATACTGTTCTTCTCATCTACTTAGCTCAGTTTCTTTTCTCCTTATCAAATTGGCTCAGTCACTTACACATCCTCTGCCATTTAACGTATGACGGCGATAACTTACCTCCTCCGTTGACGTAGCACAGATACGGAAACCGCCAGACGTTGCCCAGTCCGATGGCCATGCCCAGCAGAGCGAGCAAGTAGTCCAGTTTGCTGGTCCAGTTGCCCCGAACTGGGTTAAGAACCTCATCCTTCGGGGCCCAGTTGCACAGCTGAACGTAAAAAGGGCATAATAATTCTTCAGTTAGTGTGCTGAAATAGATAGGATTATCAGGATTTATTGGATCGGTTAGAAGTAATAATGATGAGGTTGGCAGGTTTCGCGGTTGGAACATTGAACAAATATTTCGTGCCAATTTGTGCAGGGGAACGTGTATCGTCCGAGCCTTCTGTGGATATTATTAATCGAAAATTGTGCCTCTGGGTTAGGGCACAATATATTATTCACTTCCATTTATTCAGCTTAACACGGTACCATGTATTACAGTTGTGCAGAAAGACGCAATACATTGTATTTTCCGAGCACAATTGTATCAAGATGCTGTTCATTATTCAGGCCTGTGTCGCTCAGTTGGCTAGGAGCCGATTCGTTATAGCGGGTGTGAGTGAAGAAGCTTATTGTACAAACTGCTATTTAATCGAACACAAATCGACTCTACGGACTGTAAATATATAGTAAATAATATTTACTATATATTATGTATGATATAGTAAATAATATTTACCATATATAATGATAAAGATACGTATATGTATATTGTTTTTTTTTATTTTAACAATATTATGTAGTACATTGCTCAGTATATGGTGAAAACATAAAATAGTATACCATTTATATAAATTTTATGTAGGGAAACTGTCTGCCTGCTACTCTGATGCCAATTAAACTGAAGGATATCGTCTCGTTTACGTAAACGAAGTAGAACTGCATTTTAACTGAGCTTATCTTTGTGAGCGCTAAGCTCTTATATTGCCTTCATTGTACTGATGCTGCCGAGGCAGCGAAAAAAGTATCTAGGATACCATGCCTTCACACTCTTGCCTAAGTACACGACTTAGGCATGCATATAGATGCCAATTTATATGTATGCATCACACTCATATATCATATATGTATGTATCATCACACTCATACATGTATGCATCACACTCATACATACAAATTAATCATTCAATCACTGATAAAATTTACAATACAAATCATTTTAGAATGTTTGTTGCTTATGAATTGCACTGTCGGGGTCCATTCGATAAATAAATAACATGAAAATAAAGCAGTCAGTGGCCGTATGTGTGGAGAAAATTGTCGCCATTACAAAAAGTATGAATAAAATAAAATAAACAAAATTATCAATCAGAACAACCAATCATTAAGTACAAAAAGCAAAATCGAAATGAGTTTTCTCATAACGATCATAAACTTCCAATGATGATGTATTCTAGTCCTTATTTCGGAGCGTTTCTGCACATGCAAAACGAAAACACAAATTTCGAACCAACGAAATAAATAAACTAATCAATGCAAAAATACATAGGATAAATAAAGGGATAAAATAACTAAGACTATTCGCAATCAATAAAAACATCACTTAAACACCATAGGTAGAAATAGCAAAAAATTAACCACGACTCTAAGACTCACGTACTTCTGTGATGCAATGACTGCAATCACATGCCAGAATAACTAAGTATTACAGATTCTTACCGAGCTCACGTTAGAGGTGACTAAAAACCTAAATGAAGTGTTCAAAGTTATCGCTCCACGAAGATTCGCTTTAATAAGAAGAAGCGCGGGTAAATTTGGTGTACCACGAAACCGAAGAACTACATCATGCTACTTCGCCAAGCCAAACTCGAGCGAAATGCAGCTACATCTAAAATCAGGAAACTTCGAAACTTTGAAAGAGGAAGAGAACACTTTGCGGACCAAATTCTACAAACTTTAGATCTTGAAGTTTGTTGAATTTTGTTAAAGTTTGTTGAATTTGGATTTTAGACGTAACTGAACTTCGCTCGAGTTCAGCTTTGCGAAGTCGTCAGTTGACGGCAGCTCAGGCGGCGTTCATCTGTTCTTCGATTTGTGGTACACCAAAATTACCCGCGCTTCTTCTCAAAGCGCATCTTCGTGGGCGATCACTTTTATGGAATTTTTTCGTAACGATGATCAGAGGAATCTATTCCTTTTCTATCAGTTTTCTTCAGCTCTTTTATCTTCTGCTTGAAGAACTTAATATCTGCATTTTATCCCAATAATTCAGCCACTTTAGAAGGTGATACGAAGATTTGAGGCTCGAAGATTTGCGACTTGAAGAATAGATTCTGATCGCCCTTTGCGAATCGACTTTCCTACCCTACCGACTAAAGTGGTTCGCAAAAGTTCATCTACGGAAGAAAATTTATCTACGTTATCTACGGAAGAAAATTTACCTGATATTATTTACTTGAATTTGTTCTCAATTTTGAAGAATATAACTCTTGTTGTATTCCAATATAAGAAAGAAAGCGAAATGACAGCTTCAATTTAAAAGCTTTTGACAGCATCAGAGATGATAATGAATATTCTAAGGAGATATGCTTTTTTAACACAGAGAAAAGCATGAGGATATTCGTTGTAATGATTTATCGAGAGATGTGTTCAACTATAGTCACGACATAGCTGTTGTAGCATCACCAGCGATTTCGCACATTTGTGTGGCATGTCTATGTTGGCAAATTGATTTGCTTACCAATAAAATCTCAATTCAATTTATATTCAAAGAGCTTGGCAAGCACAGCGCCCAATCTTTTATTCCTGGATCGAAGTGACTATTAATTCTCACATCTCTTTTTTTACTGATTTTGGTCCTTCTATTGATTCTCATTCGGATTCAGTAGAAATGATACCAAACTTTTTACAAAAAAAAAACAAATTCAATTCAAAACTAAAGCAACTGAGCTACAGTGTAAAGCTCATAATACTTTGAAATAATATGAAAACCTTTCTAGGCTGTGTCAACTATTTCATTATTAAAAACACCATGACACGGTCATGCTCCATCCAATGACGGCTGTTACAGTATCTGTGAACGAGACAAATTGTATATCCTGTTTCATATTTGTCAGACCCACTCAAATAGCTTTTGCGTATGCATTTTTTGTCAATAGAAGCTTTTTCTCTAGAGATCTCTCTTGTGTTATAGAGCCTGCAAATGTATGGCAGCATGTCGCTTCTTGAGGAAGGTCGAGACGCGTGGAGCGTATTCTTCCAGAGCTTATGGAATGTCACATCTATTTAAGCTTGATAGTTTGAGCGCATTTTCCTCGTAAAAATTAAATACGTTCCTAATTTAGATATTATGAATTAATCAAGTCAAATAGATAATCACGACATAGCTGTTGTAGCATCACCAGCGATTTCGCACATTTGTGTGGCATGTCTATGTTGGCAAATCGATTTACTTAGCACCGAAATTTCAATTCAATTTATACTCAAAGAGCTTGGCAAGCACAGATCCAATCTTTTATTCCTGGATCGGAGTGAAGATTAATGCTCACGCCTGTCTCTTTCGGATTTCTGTCTCTCTATACTGATACTATTTCGGATTCAGTAGAAATGATATCAAACTTTTTACGAAAAAACAAATTCAATTCAAAGCTACAGGAAATGCTCCAAGTATGAACGTGTTCAAGAACAGACTAGACAATTAAGGCCATGCAGGAGCATATGTTTAGTCTTGAAATGCCTCGTATCCTACGGAACAACTGAAATCATTAAGAGATTTTAAACCTACCGTCGGTTGAAAATATCTGATCAAAAGGCCAGTCTTGTCAAGAAAAATACAAGAATCGTCGACAGGCCTATCCAGGCCTATTCTTCAATGCCGAAGATACTATACTATACTAAATTATATTATACTATACTATACTATACTATACTATACTATACTATACTATACTATACTATACTATACTATACTATACTATACTATACTATACTATACTAAATGAGATACAGTGAAAAGCTCATATCAATTCAAAATAATATGGAAACTTTTCTAGACTCTGTCAACTATTTCATTATTAAAACACCATGACACGGTCATGCTCCGTCCCATGACGGCTCTTGCAGTATCTGTGAACGAGATGAATTGTATATCCTGTTTCATATTTGTCAGACCCACTCAAATAGCTTCTGCATATGCCTTTTTGTCAATAGAAGCTTTTTCTCTAGAGATCTTTATTTTGTTATAGAGCCTGCAAATGTATGACAGCATGTCGCTTCTTGAGGAAAGTCGAGACGCGTGGAGTGTGTCTTTCCGGGGCTTATGGAATATCACATCTATTAAAGCTTAATTATTTGAGCGCATTTTCCTCGTAAAAATTAAATACGTTCCTAATTTAGATATTATGAATTAATCAAGTCAAATAGATAACGATAATTTCAAGTATGTATTTAAATTGAGTACAATAATGTGAATTGTGAGGGGAATGCGCTCCTACACTGTCTCTATTTGCTGAAAATCATTACAATGCTCAGACTTAATTTGTATTACAGCAAATAATCGATGTTCAAAAGATATCTGGGGAACAATAGCCTTATGTTAAAGGATACCTTAGGTTTCTCCAACAATTTTTTTCTAGAATAAAGCCTGGTAGCCAGAGCTACCTTCAGCAGAAGAAGGGTTGGTACAACAAGGCATATCACATGAAGGCATTAGTTTACCCCAAAATTGGAAAAATTTCATTTAACGAGGTTCAAAATAACAAGATTTCCAATTATATTTTAGTAAATAAAAATTATTTCCGAACAATAAATTATGATGAAAAATTACATTGATTTCTACCATACCCGTGTTGAATTAATCAGCTCCTGATAATTTATTTATTAATATCAGTACAAAGTCTCATGTGGGCCGCTTACCTCTCGGAGATATCTCTTCATGATCACTGTGACGGTTGCTCTAGAAGATCTCCTGCACGAGATATGAAATGATCTCAGGAATAAGGCCACTTTATTTGCGTAAACGGGCAATTCAAAGGCTACACACTTGCAATTTATTTACAAATTTAAGTATTATTAAATTACTTTCTAATTGACGAAACCCCGTTTGAACTGATCGCAGCGCTAATTTACAGTTGCTTTAAGCCTAATTGCAAATCCCAAAATAAAATTCTATAAATGCCGTTCCAAGTTAAGCGGATAATGATTTATTTTCAATTAAAAAGGGAATAGCATGCATAGCGTGAAATTAAACAGGTCTGCTGCTTGTTCGGTAATTGGGAATTGAAAATTTTGAAAAATTCATGTTTGATACATTATAATAGAAGATCAAAATTTTCGGAACGTAGATCATGCCGAGCATTACTTTCCGGATGTTACATCATCATTATTTTGTGACTTCATATGCTAACATCTTGGGACAAAGAAGCGAAAAATTTGATGTAGCAATTGACCTAAAATTAAAACGCTTGTGGCTAAACTATTCGGATATCGCTAACCAGTCAAGACTCTCTGTTCAGATATTGTTAACCAGTTAAGACTCTCTGTTCGGATATTGCCAACCTGTCATTCAAGACTCTCTTCACCCTACCACCGCCTGATACAAACATGAAACATCAAAAAAAGACTTGAAACTTACGCTCGTCGCAGGACTGTAGGAGAAGGCAGTATAGCAGTCCTCACTGAACTGAACCCTGCATGCCACTAGCAATAGGAAGTGTGAATGGCATCCTACAGTTGGGCTGCACAGCTCTAAATTGAACGATTTGGCGCCGTACTGTACGTAGCTTGATAATCTCAAATTTGTTGGGTATAAAAATGTAATTATGACTTCAAGTCATTATCTCTTGAGTTGTTAGACGTCTTCTCTAATATTTGATAACTGGCAGTGTCCTGTGTCGCTATTTAAAGGCTTTGAAATGAATTGAACCCGTCGGTTTTCGCATCTGCATTGTATTCTTGTTCGCGAAATTTTTCCGCACGCTCGGATAGCGGACGGACAGGAGTTTCCAGTCGTCCAGCTGAGCTTACTAAAATGTGGCCGCACCAGTGCCCCGTTGACCGTGGCGAAGTGTGGTTGTTGCGCGGCTCGTCGTCAGTAACAACCATTTCACTTGATCTCTTATACTAAATCCTGTATTATAGAAAGTCTCCATAATCATACTTGCTACTTGAATATAAATTTTTGTGTCAATGTAAAGGTGCGTTTCAGTTTTCTGGAGATTTTAACACAACTGTCAGTTGTTTCCTCGTTTTGTAATTCTAGTTGAGGCTCGATAACAATACGGGAAACTATCTAACTACAGCCGTTTAAGTTTTTGTACTCGGATTAGCAGCAGCGTTGCCAGTCAATCAACAATCCTGAAGAGGATAACTTCTAGTGAAAACATGAGTCGCCGTATCGTCCGCTACAGAAAAGTGAAAGGTCGTCAAACAAAATCGCTTTGAATTTTAATTGGGTTTCATTTCAAACTGTACGGTTCCGGTTAACATTTTTTTCACTGTCTTTATTAAATGTCATTGAAAGTTCATCAATTTTATTTTACACGAATTTCATTGTTTAAAATCAATAAATAATATCGCCGGCTGTTCAGCGCCCATTGATAAGACGCTTGTGATTTATCAAAGTGATTTTTAAGGCTGTGTTTAGTCAACCGTTTTTCGTACTGGAAAATCCATTCATTCAACACATTTTTGTGAAAAATGAACATATTTGAGATGGTACTTCTGCGTTCATTGAAACTGTTTTCGTGCTATTCATGCCTATCCTCACCGTCATTAACGAACATCCTTCACATTCATGATGTTGAGAGACAATCATTTCAATCATTTACCATGTAAAGCTACAAGCTCGCCGATCATCATTCTGTTATTGATAACAATCTTCTTATCTTGCCCATCTTGATCGGCTATATCAGCCAGCCGCGACAAAAAGTTTAGCTTCATGCTAACCATCATTGCAATCTTCTCCAGAACTGAATTGCTGATTGCATAGCAACTGATTGCTCAATTCGAATACTTTTGGTGCTGGCACTACGAAACAATATTTTTGTCTATACTTTTGATTGTTTGGTATGAATCTAATTGAAAATTTAAATACACACTTGAGATAGAAAATCCTGCACAATGTGTGTGGTATTGCATTGGTCAGGTATTTATATACCATGAACTCGATATTCTATGATATCTTTAAACTTGTGGAAAATAAATCAGGTATTCTTAATGTAATCATAAGTACGATTTTCAATACTAACGAAAAACTGAGCTCTAAATCTATCAATGCTATTTTTTTTCGCAACATTGCAGGAGTTGCGAGTGAACGGCTGTGTCCTGCAAGGCAGTTTCCCTGTACACGCATAGAAATAAGTGAGACTATGTCCAAATAGCGATGCTTTTTTTCTCTTATGTAGGTCATCCTGACCCAATTTTACCCGGAAAAACGGTCGTATATGGGCTGAATGTAGAAAGTGTGTCAGCATTTGGATAATATGACCCAATCACTTGGAAAATCATCTGTGCCTGGAATCGTACTCGGTCTTCAATCTAATCCAGAATTTAGTCGCGCTCGTTCATTAATCATTCTTTCCGGTACATTTTTCCAGCGAGGTAATTTACGTGAAGTTAAACGTTTTAACAGCTAATGTAAAAATTTTACAATAATTGTTAACAATGGAGTTCCTAATATGTATAATGATGTTAAATAATATAACTGATATAATATATCTTATATTTGTGTTATATAACATTTCTGACGGCACTTAGTATCATGACCTCTGCCGTTCACGCTGCACACGACGTGCCCGACATGCTGCACACGACGTGCCCGACACGCTGCACACGGCGTGCCCGACACGCTGCACACGACGTGCCCGACACGCTGCACACGACGTGCCCGACACGCTGCACACGACGTGCCCGACACGCTGCACACGGCATGCCCGACGCGCTGCACACGACGTGCCCGACACGCTGCACACGGCATGCCCGACACGCTGCACACGACGTGCCCGACACGCTCGTCAGTTCGAGGTCGGCGCTGTAGTCAAGGTGAGCGGCGACGTGAAAGCGACGGTGCGCTGCGTATTGTCGTCCGTTTGTTGGCCGCCGATAAATTGACCCAAATTTTTTATCAAGAATCATGCGCGTTTTGCTTGATTAACTTCCAGTCCTCGTGAACCCTACGCACGGCGATGATTCTTAAAGCTAGGATTGACAGTAACTGTACTGATCCTAATTTCTAATTCTAGATCCTAGTTTGAATTCAGCAAGTAGTCGCTGAATGCAATAGTACATTCATTCATAATTTTTATATTTTTTAATACCATTATGATGATTTCCTGTATTTAATAGATGTTGTTCTAGGAAATGGCGGAACATCAACATCTCTCCCCGTGTTTGTTAGCCACCTAGCTGTTCTATTATTGTGTGGTAGAGCGAGGTGTCTGTGAATGATACGGTTTATCTTGTGTGACCTTTATTATATGCACTTCATATCGCTGACACTGTGGGACCTAGTGACGGCAGTTTTTTTTTTTTGCATGTATATATGGTAATTTTTTGGACGGATAATTTTTCTGAATGTATATGCTTTACATTCGGCGATGGTTCGTTCATATTGCTCTAATTATCAAGCAGTTAAAAAATTCTAATTCCATCACGATCCAAGAAACAATAGAGCTTCGCCTCGTTGCACCACGGGAGGGTAGCTTCGGTATGAACGCTGGGGAGGCGGGGAGAATTTAACTCGTGTGTGAACTGTTATATTGCAAAATGCCATGGGATTGAAAATTTACGCAACAAGATCCGCATCGGAATGAGTTCAAGATTATAGTTTTTGTATGTGTAATAAGAGTACTTCCTCTTAACAAATAGTACTCCCTGTTTTATCTATTTATAAGCTTTTTTCTACTCTATAATTTTTACGTAATAAATACATCAGCTTCGAAATCCATAAGCATGTTCCTCTTGTGGCAGTCGTTATTAAAAGACGTATTTATGTTCTATATATATGCCATGTGCTTCAGATCTGTATGCAAGTTTTAAACTGTGAGTGTATGGGGTACGCAGCCGTGCACCACCAAATTTGTGCACCAATCAGCCTTGAAAGGAACGCCTAGCATATTTCCGGATGACCACCAATCAGCCGCGGATTAAGCCAACCGTCGGTAACCAGCCCGTGACATCATCTTGCTTTAAATATTAGGAGCTTTACGCCGCCATATTCTGAAGCGAATAGCCCAGAAAGTAATGGTTATGCACCACTGAACGTTGCATCGAATCATCACTTCATACCCTGACTTTAGCTCGAATTGTAACTTGCGGACAACGGACTGTGACCAACCAGCCCAGGTCGTCAGTGGAACTGTGTGCATCCTGCCGTGCACCACCAGACCGTCACTTTTAGCTCACTGCATTGGGGTTAGGTTTCAGAAAGCATAGTTCTGTTCCAAAATCTATCGTCCTTCGACGAGCGACTTCTACAGCTTCGCTAAATTACGTAACTTTTAGCTCACAGCATCTGGGGTTAGGTTCCAGATATTTTATGACTTTTCTCTAATACTTTTAAACGTCCGATTTGAGCATTGGTGAGTAATTCTGTGTTACCGATGGACTTGGATCAGTGTCAGATGAAATTAACGCTGGCGAATTATATATGAGTTGATGTGCAGGTAGTTACGGACCTTTAATTATTTATTATTTCCGCAATTTTGACGTTGGGCGACAGATGCAATATTGTGGATATATCGTTTGCTCAGTGGTGTTAATTACGAGGGATCAGTTATGATTTCTGCATGTTATGTAGGTTTTTTGGTCTAAATTACAGTTCAATACAGTTAGGATTTTTTGTCAAATTTTAATTTGTATGTATCTCTGGAACTGTTTTCCTGTTTTTAATACATCATTAGAAAGAAGGAAAAGTCTTTCCGATTTGTCTATCTGTAGATTTAAATTTCTGAGATTACTTAGTGAGAGTTTAGTTTCTAGGGAAAATATCATTATTGTCGTCTTTCGCGATTGAAATTTTGTCAAAACTAGAGCTAATTTCCCACTTTAAAATTTATTTCTTGATAAATAAAGTGGGTAATAAATAAAGTGGTTAATCTTTGTAAGCATCCATCGATGATGAAACGAGGTGCAGCGTTCACGGCCGTTACTGTATCGCACTTTCCCCTGGATTAATTGTCCGACTTGGAACAACTGGGAGTGTCTATTGTGCAATTACGGGGTAAATGCACTTTGTATACAATTCATTCCTGTGTGAGTTCTAAGCGCTCCATGCGTTTGTTTCTTTTTAAATGGTCTATTGTGCGAGCCTGCATATATTTCAAGCGGAACGCCTTCAGAATTCATCTTCTCGAGTGCCTTGCAAAACAGATTATGTTCGAGGTGTTTGCTCTGGTCTCAGTGCGACGGATTTCCCTTCCAACTTTGTTTACCGCGATGAGCGATCGCAACACAACAAAAATTTTATTGGAAATATCCACATCTTCAATTTCAAGTGCAGAATAATATTTACTTATCACACAGTCATATCTGCCGCAGTTTCACAAACAACCTGAACTGTGTCAACCTAATTATCTGGAAATTTTCTTCTCTTTTGAAGAGCGTGAACACAATTCTGTTAAGGCCGTCGGCCGGATGTTGTCATTGATCACTTAACAGCAGCGGATGCTGCAGAGCTACACACACGGCCTCTCTGCCATGCGGCCTTATGTGT